AAAATTCACGTGGGGGCTAATATTTTTGACCAACCCATTTTTCACTATATTTGATATAAAGCAAGCCTAAAAACATATTTTATGTTCCAAAATGTACCAAAAGCTACTAAATAGCACTGGTGAATGTTTGATTATATCAAGTTTTAGCAATGCTGGAAACAATTGGAAGAATTTTAAGGGAAATGTTCCATAACTCCTGGGGGGCTAATAATTTAGGCCTCAACTGTACATAATAGAAACTTCTATTGCCACCTAATGTCGGTTGTCAAACTTAATCTCAGAGTCCTTTCTCTTGGGGCAGCTCTCTCCTACTGCAAGATATTCAACAAATAACATAATTTATTAAATAAGTGCACGTTTGTTTTAATTCACCATTCATTTGCCTCACTGCTGACTTAAATGTTTCTGTATGATCTTTGAAAATCCGCTTCAGATTGACTGGGGTAACTTTGGCAGTGGTGCAGACACTCTGGGTGTTACCTCCGCCATCACAGTGGAGGATGGAGCCGACTATGGCATCAGTCTGGAGACCAGCGCTGAGGTAACATATCTGCATTTTAAATATACAGTACTCATTTTATCATACGCATTATGTTACTCAAATGTTAACATGTACATATTCATTTGAATGTAAAACATTTTCTACAGATAGAAAATATTAAATGTGGTTTGCATTCTGTAATGGTTAGTATTAATCTAGCTAAAACTATTGGGAATTACATTTACTCTCATTCTAGATAAATAACAAAAAATAAATAAGTATACAAAAATATGTATAATATACAATACATACCAGAGTAAATAATAATAATTCATATATAGGATCTGCTATTAAGTGTGTCAAAAGGCAGAATTATAGAAGAATACAAGTAAAAAAAATACCGTATAAATGAAGTTGAAGCTCATTTATCTTAGGTATGGATAGTTTGGTTGAAGGATTGAAGATGTGCATATACAGAAGTCCAGATTCGTCTTTAATTGTCTCTTTCTTATTGTTTGTTGATTGATCTGAAAGAAAAGGGGGTTACAAATCACATTGAGATTAAACATCATAATAATAATTCTAAATATATTCCAGTCTGCCAATATAAGGCAGTCATCTGAGCATAATTAGGCATAAGAATGTAGAACTAATTTAAACAAGTGCAATTTAAACAGTTCAGCAAACAATGACATAAACTACGTAAGCTGTTAAATGAATACCATTTATAGCAAAGGAATCTCACAGATCATTTACGCAGAGAAACAGTTGGTGTGAGGCTTCACATGAGGCTTCTTTGTTCAGGAAAGGATTTGCCACAGGTGAGCTGGCTGACTTTAGATTACTTAGCTCCGCCCCTCCAGGATGGCAGGTAGAGGAAGATTGGAGGGGGATATTCCATAGTAGTATTAAATGGAAAGACATTTGTTCTAAACTGATCCCAACTCTGACAATTCAACAAATATACACTTAAAAGCCTAATGGTGTTAAAAGCAATTAAAAAGAACACATTTGTAACATTTTGCTTTTGGAACTTCTGCTCTAATATAACAACTTGTACCTGCCTCCATTTAACAGGACACTGGTGGCATTGACTGGGGTGACAGTGAAGCAGCTCCCATTGAAATTGAAATTGTTGATGCAGGCACAGACTGTAACTACTTTTCCCTTATAAATCACCATTATTGCTCAGCTGTGAACATTGCTGTTTGCTAAAATAATGTTTGTTAACTTGCAGGTCCTGAGGGTGTGGCACGAGGTGAGGATGCTCTGACTATCCTGGAGAACTCTCAGTCACGCAGCGTGTTCATTGATGAGCTCACGGAGGTAAAGACTGCTGCCATCTAGTGTTAAATAACTCTTCAATAACCGTGAATCCCCTGATTTACTTTTAACATCTGCAAATATAAAAAAATCACTTATTTGGAATAATGAGTCTAGCTTTTAGAATCACGATTTAAATAAATTGACCCTTCAATAGCATTTTATTTGTCAGATTTTTATAAATTTTTTATTTCACTGTCAACTTGTATATTTTCTACTTTTTAATGCTGTTTTATTTCCATTTTGAGATGTTTACATTTTTGAATTTTTGTTATGCAATGCAAACATTTACCAATTTGGGATCAATAAAGTACATCTTATCTTATAAATGGCTTAAGATGTAAAACCTATCTATAGAGAACTGGAATGATATAATTTATGACATTTTGGAAAGAATCACCGTCTCTAAGAGCCTTGGTGAAATACAATTTGCCCTTTTTTTTATTTGAAATTGTGTATTTCTTAATCGCAAAATCAAAAACACCCCATGTACTACTTTTGAGTTCAATCATTATATTGTATAAAGCTTAAAAGAGGAATAATGCTGTAAAAGTAACAAACAAAAAAATGATGATTAAAAAAACATGGCCTTGGGTGATCAAAAATAAAGGAAACAAATTCAAATAATAAACTGAAAGGAAAATAAATGTGGATTAGGTCACCTGACAGATTTAGCCCCAACATGTGATACTGGTTTCATGTGTTTGTACAGCTGGAAGTGTTTTTAACCCAGCGAATAAGTGAGATGGGAGAGGAGGGAGATGTGGTGGCCATGAGCCAGTTCCAGATGGCCCCTTCTGTCATCCAAGCTCAATCCCGTGAACACGTGCGGGGGATGCTGTCAGAGGTGCGGGACCTCCTGGGCCGCCTCACCTCGCTCCGGATGCAGCACCTGTTCATGATCCAGGCCTCGCCACGGTACGCTGAGCCCCATAGCATCTGCGTCAGTCAGCATAAATCAACACCTTCTAATTTTTCTTACATCTGAAATGTGTTGTTTAGGTATGTTGAGCGTGTATCAGAGGTGCTGAGGCAGAAGCTGAAGCAGGCAGACATCCTGGTCCTGAAAGCTGCCTCAATGGTTGAGAGGAGACAGGAAGCTCTGGAGGAGCAGTCCAGGCTGGAGCCTCGTGTCGACCTGCTGGCAGGACGCACCCGGGAACTCCAGAAAATGGTATTGGATTACACTTTCAGTTTATTTTTATGTTCAGACTTCAGTTCACTAGAAAGAGAAAGTGCTGTAGGGTTTTTCTCCCCACCCACATCACTGGATCATTAGATCTATCTTGACATATACTGTAATAATGAGTATTGTCGTCATTAATTCTGATTTGTTCCTTTTACAGATTGAAGCAGACATTTCAAAGCGATACAACAACCGGCCTGTCAACCTAATGGGGGTTAATATATAGTGGACGTTGTGACATTTACTAAAAATCTTTTGTCATGATCTATTCTCAGAAATAAAAGTGGTATTTAATTGTATTTTTTTCACGTCTTGTGTGGATTATTTACAATGTCTGGTTTAACACTGAAAACATTTATAAAATAATGGATCATTCATTATTTATGAAAAAACATGAATACAACTTGTGGATGGAAATCTTTCAAACAAAAAGTCTTTCAAACAAAAAGTAAATTGACAATTACTCAACATTTCAAATAACTAAGTTTATTATCTGACTTCTGACTACTGTTAAAGGATTATAGAACATTTATTGTATATTACATATACAATATACATATTTATAACGTGTTATTTTGTGCTAAATATCTTAGTGAGAGTGAGAGTGAGAGTGGTGGAAAATAATTAATCACATTATTATAGTACTATTTTGAGGTGTTTACATGTATTTACATGTATTGTTATGCTATTTTATACTTTACCACATCTCAGAGCCATATCGTGTACCTTACTCCACTGATTATTTAAAGCTTAGTTCCTTTGAAGATTAACATTAATAATATAAAACATAAAAAGTTTGACTATTTTAGTAACAAACTATTGGCATCAAAATATACTTACAGTACTGGATTACTTGTGCATAGTAGCCCATTTCTGGATAATACATAATACTAATGGACTATACATATTGATGCATTAATTTTAAAATCACTTTAAAGTTAAAGCTGGTAAGGGTGGAGCTGTGAAAATGTCTAATATCTAAATATTTCTCCGTTCGTACAGAATCATAACAAATATCTATCGTGTGATATATTTTTCTAAATATACTTTGGAAGAAAAACACATTTTTAATAAGCCTTACGTCTTTGCCACGTAATACATTTTAAAATGGGATAATGGTGATGCAAATGTGTGTAATATTAGTGGGCTGATGAAAGCTTTCTACTAGAATGTTCTGCGCATGCTCTGTTTGAAAGCGTGTTTTGGTGTCAAGCGGCGCTCAATGCTAGGCTAGCCGGGCCAGCTAGCATTTCTGCAAGTCATGGTGGGCCATTCAATGAGCAAAGGCTGGAGATCGGGCAACACTGTGGAGATTTTAATAAAACCGCGATCAAATTCTGCTCTTAGGTGGTAGTGGACTTTAGGGCATGAAGACACAGCTACCCAATCTTCATGCGTGAGTATTAAATCAATCAACTAATAATGCTTAAACCGAGACATTGATTGCACTGATTCATGAGCATGATGTGACGTTAGCAGACACATGGATGAATAGGTAGTATTTATGTGAATGACTTGATACTGTGGCGTCTGTTGTTTGATACATAAGTTACTTTTGGAAGTGCTCAAATGGTAGTTAGCAGCCAACTAGCTTTCAAGGCTAGCACAGTGTAGTTCCAATAGTAGTTCAGCTGTTTCTTTAAGCCCCACCCGTGTGCCATTCCTATTGGCCGGGGTGTTCTGGAGTCATGTGTCGTCACCGCACTTTTGTCCCGAGAAAGGCTGTGCAATCTGTCAATCATCTTTTCACCACTTGTTGCTAGGGAGATTGTTTGATGCTAGCAAAGAGACCAGTAGAGGTACCTGTCACTTTTTCAAGGTAAACAAAGATGCGAGCTTACTAGATGTGGCGAAACGAAATATTATTTCCACTTCATGATATGTAATAAGATGGTTATACATGTGTAATAGCAGTAGTCGGGTGTCAAAACACAGGGTAGCTAACAGCTAACGTCATAAGGACGAAGATAGGAGAAGAGGGAGGGACCCTGCCTGCTACCGAACGCTGTCGTTGGTGCTAGCCAGCCTAGAAAGCCAGCTCGACTCTCCCATTCACCTTCAGCAGCACCACGAGAAGTAGTTCTCCTGTGCAAGGGTGGGGTGATGCTGCCTTAAGCTCTGTGTTCACCATCTCTGATCCTCTGAATTTAAAGAAAAAGGAAAGGCCATTGCGCGGTGCGAGTCTTGGGAGGATGGAGTGGTTGCTGTGGGCTAGCAAGCCCTGATTTGTTGTAATGTATTTGTCATTAACATGTGCTTAATACAAATGTAGGAAGGTAAGATGTGTCTGTCATACAACTGAAAGCAGTGTGTTTATAATGTTGTACTATGTAGTTTCTATTGAGAGAATAAAATGTTATTTCTCACTTTTATCAGGAATGGGAACCCTATGAAGAAGAAAGCTTTGAGCACCAACTGGACTCTCTGACAGTGGAAACTCCTCCTGGATCTTACATGCCTTTTTAAACATACTGAATCCAGTTGAAGATACCCCTTTCCCCCCCCTAACTATATTTAACCACTTTTTTTTTACGTTCATGTATCTCTCTCTGTCTTCTAGCACAAGTACAGAAGTAGTAATCCACGCTCCCCGTTTTTGTTTTTGTTTTTTACTTTCACCTTTTTGTTCCTTTGTAAAGAAATGCTTTACCTGAAAAAATACTTCACAGAGGGCCTGATTCAGTTCACCATCCTCCTGAGTCTCCTTGGGGTGCGGGTGGACGTTGACAGCTATCTAAGCAATCAGCTGCCCCCTCTGAGAGAGATCATCCTGGGCCCTAGCTCAGCCTACACTCAGACACAGTTCCACAACCTGCGCAACACGCTGGACGGCTATGGCATCCATCCAAAGAGTGTGGACCTCGACCAATTTTTTACCACTCGGCGGCTGCTGAACCAGGTGCGCCAGCTGGACCGCCTCTCCGTCCCCAGTACCGAGCTCAACGCCTGGCTTGTGCATCGTGACTCTGAGACTGTGGTGTCCACCAGCAGCCAACCCAGCCCCAGCATCACCCTGGACAATGGGGGCGGCCTAGAGGACGTTAACAACCCTGACGCTACCCCGGCCATGAGGGGAGGAAGTGTAGGAACTGAATCCACGTACAACCTGAACGCAGAGGACAGCAGCCTGGGAGCCGTGGCCCCTGAGGGCAACCAGGAGCAACCGGGCAGCAGGGATGGCAATGATGACCTCAGCAAAGAGGTACTGCAGTTTGTCAATTTCTCCAATCTGAAAACACCTGTCAAAAGGTGGAGGTGGGGTCAAACTGTTTGACAGTTGCTTGTTGTCATCACATTTACCTGCTGTGTCGCTACTTAATACTATAATACACTTTTTGTTAAAATACTCACCTTATCAAGATTACAATGTGCTTTACAAAATACAAGAGAATATAAAAAAAAAAGATAATTGACCATACGAAATACATAGTGAAAGTGATGAGAACTAAAGAAATAGTGAATTGGAAAGCTCAACAATAAAAAGAAGAAAAAGTGTTTTAAAAAGGATAAATAAGGTGCTGGTAATCACCTTACATCTGTAATTCATTGGACAAGCAGATTGTATAATGTATGTTAAATAACTAACCCTAACCCTAATGAAATGTAGCTTGGAGGTTCATATTTTCACTGGCCTTCCTAACCTAATATTCCAAGTAGCATCAGAATCCACAGATGTTAGCAGGAGTAGATAGAAAATAATGTATTCCTATCAATTCTGGTCACTTAAAATATACAACAACAATTACTCAACCTGTCATTTCTAACTACTATACAGGTAGTATCAGATTCATAAATATTACAGGGTATGGCAGCATTAAACACATAGGTATACTGTATTTCAACATAATAAAACATACACTCACTTAAAATGTCTTTACTGACATGAAACGCTGTCCACAGCCTTGGTCTTTAATCAGTGTCAGATATTTTTAGGCCAACCAGTTGAGTCACATTCATTACAGCTGGGATTCTTGTCATAGTTACTGTTGTTTATGAGAGTACAAACTTAAGCAAACAGTTGTAACTTAAATAACTTCATTTTTGTTTCTTAAACTTAATTGTCCTAAAAGAGCACATAAGAGAAAAAAAGGGATATTTTTTTAAGACAACATGTTACATTTTTGTTTAAGAACTTGTACATGAAGGCAATATTAATGCGGCGGCGTTAGAGTCACACAGCCATTGTTTTGACTGTAAGAAAACTAAAAGACTTCTTTCTGATCACATGAACACCACCATGTCAAAGTGATTCTGTCATGGTTGCATCATCTGACTTCATTTCTGTTGCATGATCCGCCAAAATTACCCACTGTTATGAAATAATGAGCCCAAAAATAGACAGTATAAATACTAGTTATTATCATATACCTGGCTACAGTATAAGTTAAATACATTGAATGCCTACACATTACCTGGTTATTAAAGTGACTCTTCTCTGCACAGGGCCATTTCTCAATGGTTGCTATCTGTTTTTCCAGGACATTGACTTGATTGACATTCTATGGAGACAGGACATCGACCTCGGTGCGGGAAGAGAAGTGTTCAACTACAGCAACCGTCAGAAGGAGAGCGAGGAGGAGGAGAAGCCCAGCCCACGAGAGAACAAAGACGGGAATGAGGAACAAGAGCGCTGGAGAAATGGAGTTAACTTACAAGGTGCCCAGCCGGTGGACGGGGAGACCGGAGAGAGTATCCCAGAGCAGGTCAGTAGACTAAATGGATCTCTGATATCCTTGTCTTTCATCCAGGGGGAGGTGGTACATTTAACTGGCTCTTAGTACATACAAAAGAAAATAGAAACTAGGGAGCTGCTTCATATGAGTTTGTCTTCATGTGGAGACAGTTCCAGTCTCTCCACCACCGCCTAAAACATTGTGGTTTGAGAAATTGCTGTTTGAATACTAGAGTATTATCTCATTGTTTTGTCACTCAAGTTAATGAGTCAAGACTCATTCAGTGGAAAGAGAGCTCAAAGCAATCAAGCTGTTGCTTTTATGAAGTTAGAATTCTATAGAATCGCATTTATATCAGGGCTTAACACCCATGGGAATTTTCCATGGGTAATTCCGAATGGTTAGCCCCCATGACGTTAAATGTAATCCTTGTTAATATATAGATGTACACGTGCGGCTTATCCAGACCTGGAATTGGAGGCATCCATGAAGTTTCCATGAACCCAAAACGATATTTGGTGTTATTTTGTTTATATTGTACTAGACAGAATGGTCTAATTCGACCGAAGAAACTACGTAAATGCACCGAATATTTATCAGCCGTGCAAGAAACTGATGTGAGATTGTCCAATAATAGCCCAATAACCAGCAATTGCAAATCACACAGGGGTGTGTCTGTGTGCTGTTAAAAGATCCTCAGGATATAAAATGAAGAAAAAAAAGCGAAATGCCAACAATCGTCCCTAGAAAAAGGAATAAGCAGCCGATAGCAGATATACTTAATCCACCATCTATTGCTATATGCTATTATGAAAATGTGTCTTAGCCTTGACTCAAGACACATACCAGCAGAAACATCGGCTGGCTTAAGTCAGAATGATGGATGCTTTCCCACCAAACACCAACACCAACCCATTTTGTTGAAATGAACTCCGTATTCGCACATTTCTACAGTTGGTTTTGTTTGCTGGTCCAAGACACACAGACGCCACGGCACCAACGGCACAAACCATGGAATTCTCATGGGAAGAGTTGCAACAGTGGCGTTGGTATCACTACCCAAAAAAACTGGGCTACGGTGTGAAAAAGGGCCCGACTTCATTTTAAATATTTTTGACAGTACTGGTATCTCTCTTGTCGTTGTTGTTACCCAGCTCCCAGTTCTTGGCTCACAGACTTCACTGTCTCTACAAGAATGCTTGAGGCTGTTGGAGGCCACTTTCCCTTTTGGAGAAGAATCTGAGGTCAAACCATACAACAGTGTTGTTTCGCATGCATTGCAAGTATTGTGTTTTTCATTAGGGTTTAAAAAACTAAAGTTGTTGCAATTTTTTTTGCAATTTTTCAAATAGTTTCCAGCACCGGTTGTTGTCACGGCAGAAATAGTTTCCAATGAGGAAGTTCCTTCTACGTCTCAGGGTCTTCCTCTGGCTCCACTCCGGCCTACAGGAGAAACGCAGCTAGACCTGGAGCAGCAGTGGCAAGACATCATGGCCATCATGGAGCTGCAAGTATGTCCACTTTTTAAAACCAATTCTTAACCCATCACATATATTTTATTGTTCTGACACCATTAACATTTAACCGTCGTATTGTGAAAATTCTGACTTTTGGGTACAGCCATATAAGGAAGTATGAAAAATTCCGCCTAACGCCCTGTCCACACAACAGCTTTAAAAAAATCTTCCAACGATTCCAACGCTTCTCTGCCCATTGACTTTGAATGGGGGTGACGTCACTTTGCCTCGCTTTTCGCCAAACTGCATTGTGGGGAAGCAAAGATTTCCAGGATTTCCAGGATTCAAAAGTTGAGCAATGTTCAACTTTTGAAGCTGAGCTGGAAGCGCTAGCCAATCAAACCACGTGTAAGCTGGGAGAGACGTACCGCAGTTCATTTCCTCATATTCCAAACGAGAAATTACGGTAGCAAATCACCCGGTTCTTTGCGACCAGTACTATTTACCGGGATACAAACCGGAGGAACCAGGCATGGAGGGAGGTGGCAGAGACAGTGGGTGAAACTAGTAGGTTTTCGCCTGTTTGGAGAGTTTATATCCAGTTTACTTCGTTTTAACATTGCTATTGCTTTGTATGTCGGGGGCGGGAGATTCATGGGATTGGTTGTTGGTCGCGTTGCTCGCAAAAAATCCCCGAGCTTTCAGACACAGCCACCTCCAAGATTTTCAAGATTTTTTCAAAGCTGCTGTGTGGACGGAGCGTGACTCTAAAAATGTAAACTCATTTAAAAATAGGGGAAAAAAAGGTTTTCTCTCAACTATTTAGCGTTTAATGCTTACATCTTTCTGTTCCAAGGCGATGGAAGTGAACAGCTCTTCACCCAACAGCAGCTCCAGCAGTGACAGCGGAACGACTGACTCCAACAGTGTGGTAAACTTTGGGCTTTCCACTCGCTCAACTCCGGTAAACCAGGACGTCAGCCTCCATCAGGCCTCCCTCCCCAGCTGCAGCCAAGACTTCCCCCCCATCTTTTACCCCCAGGTGGACTCCACTACCACCCCCCCAAGAACCACCATGCTCAGACTTTCTTCCAGCAACTCCAGCAGCATCAACTCCACGTTTGGAGCCACAAACCTGACCGGGATCTTCATCCCTCCACACGTTAACAGTTCCAGTACCAACATTACATCCACGCCGATCCTTCCCGATCCATTCAGCAACCTTCTGGAAGAGTCCATGCTGGATGAGATCAGCTTGCTGGACCTTGCTATGGAGGAGGGCTTCAGCCAGGCCCAGGCCTCGCAGTTGGAGGAAGAGCTTGACTCAGATTCTGGTCTCTCCTTGGACTCCAGCCACAGCCCGGCCTCCCCGAGCAGTTCCGAGACATCCTGCTCCTCGGCAGCGTCTTCTTCTTCAACATCCGCCACCTTCTCCGAGGAGGGGGCCGTGGGGTACAGCACCGACTCAGAGGTCGCCACCGCGGAGGAAGGTGCTGTCGGCGGTTATCAGCCCGGGTACAGCAAGCTCTGCCGTATGAGCTATCAGAACCCTTCCCAGTTCCACGGCCTACCTCAGCTGGACAACATCAGCCACAATCACACGTACAACCTGCCGCTTTCCTCTGTGTTCGCCGAGGATCCGGAGCTCCCCATCTCATCCGGGAAGAAGGCCATGAAACACTCGAAGCTTCAGCCTCCTCAGGACTTGTACGACAAGCACTCAAGTCGGGACGAACGCAGAGCCCGGTCCATGAAAATTCCCTTCTCCAACGAGAAGATCATCAACCTGCCTGTGGAAGAGTTCAACGAGCTTCTAGCGAAGCACCACCTGAGCGAAGGCCAGCTGGCGCTCATCCGTGACATCCGAAGGCGCGGCAAGAACAAGATGGCGGCTCAGAACTGCCGCAAGCGCAAGCTGGACACCATCATCAACCTGGAGCAGGGCGTCCACGACCTGCGGCGCAACAAGGGCCGCCTGCTGAAGGAGAAGATGGAGTTCATCCGTTCCATCCGGCAGATGAAGCAGAAGATGCAAAGTCTGTACCAGGAGGTGTTCACTCAGCTGCGGGACGAGGAGGGCCGGCCCTACCCCCCCAGCGAGTACTCGCTCCAGTACAGTGCCGACGGCAGCGTGCTGATCATGCCCCGCGGCGTGACAACTGCTGAGCAACACCGTAAGCCCGAGAAAAAACAAAAAGACAAAAAGAAGTGAGGGGGGCGCTAACTGCTGTTTTATTATCACTTTGCTAAATCAACAAGAACGATTTCTGCAGATGCAAGAGAGACGCCCTTTTTTCCTTTAAGAAGATTCTGGTGAGTAGAAAAATGGTATTGTTGACTACACTTCCTGAATTAGTTTCTCCCTTTTCAATTTGTGGCTACATTTTTTTCCTGGAAACAACTTTGAAGCAGAAGTAGCTCTCTCCGTTTGAGTACTGATATTTCATTCTTTAATTGGGGGAAAACAATAAGCGCGAAGAAGAGGGATGTAAAAGGACATAAAATGAGCTATTAGAAAATGTTTAGCAGCTCTCGACCCTTTTGCAGCAAACCGCTAAGGAGGGAGACGATTTGTGAGGTAAATAAAAGGGACTGCTATTCGAGAGAAGTGGGAGTAAAAAGAACACTGTCGACGAGGACGGTTGGAGTACCTATGCACCGGAGGTTTTAAAGGACAGATCATCCTATCGTGGAGACTTTTTGTGATTTCGACAGTGAGGTTTTTAAGTTGCAAATCTTCAGGCGAAGAACAACATTTGAGGTTCTGTGAGTTTACCAAAGGCTAAAGGAGGTCCATCAGTTTTAGAATGCCATTAACACCTATACTAACCAAAGGTTGTATGGTGCACATCACTGGATCTGACTACATTTTAAACACTGCACTCCAATTGTCTGTTTATGTACGGCAAATTCCAGTTTTTGAGTATGTTTGTCGGAGTCCAGATGGCGCCCGAAGTGATTGGGTTTCATGTGCGGATTGGAAGGAGGATGTTGGGATGAGAAAGAGTGTTCCTGGGCTGGCCACTGCTAAAAAAAGAAAAGGGCGTGAAAGTGAAGTCCGGCACGAGGAGCAGATGGATGTTTTAGGGAGGAGGCACACTGCATTGCAAAATGTATCAACTTCCTTATAAATTATACATAGCACTGTAATTTGTCTTTAAAAAGGCTTGGCTTAATGCATTTTGCCGTGTCTGTCGCTGTTCCTTCGCTGCGGGTTTAAATACAGGAGCTGCGTTTAGGAGGGCTCTTATTAACTGTTCATAATCTGTAGTATAAGCAAGGTTATAGGTCTCGCCACATCAGCTTTATATAAAAGTCTACACTCTTTTTGTTGGTTTTGAAACTTCACACAGAGCCTGTAATCATAAGAGGAATTGAAGATACTGTGATGGGCCAGGAGCTCCAGAGAGGGATTTCCACCTCAAGGTTTGCCCTTTTTTTTTGTCCTCTTTGACGCCTCGTTTTACGCACTAACTGAAAACAGGCTCAGTTGAAGCCTGGTGGAGCGGAATCCCTTTTTAATTTAATTTATTTGCCAACCCCACTGAAAGCCACTTTAGGCCATTTTTTAACTGCTGTAAAGCCAAGGTGTTGGCTTAAATATTATGAGTCCTATGTGTTAATAAAACAAAGTGAGCCAAGTTGTTACATGAGAAAAAAATAATATTTGAATGCGTGATATGACTGTGTGTGTTGTGGCCACTTTGCTTTGAATGCCTTTATTTCACAATCTCATTATCTGTCACTTTAAATGTTTTGAGAACCGGAAGAGAACGTTCTCAAAGTAGAAGTGCTATTACTCGTCTATTTGAATGAAGTTTTGTCAGTACATGTAACATCGCCCTCTTTTTAAAAAGAAAAAATAGGTTATTAGTGCCAGCTCAGATAGCGGTTAGGCTAAAATATTTATAAGAGGCAGAACAGAACTCGCAACTTTAAGATGATGAAAAAAGTTTTTGGAAAGGAGAAATGTCCTCATTAAATGTGATATTCAGGCATGCAACTGGTTAACATTTACTTCAGTGTAACCCAGTGCGACACCGACTATTTAGTTCTGCTACTACTTTGTGCACTTTTTTTGTCTGTCTTGTTGTGTAAATATTTTCATGTTTGTTTTTGTCATGATTTTATGTAGTTTGTCAAGCGTCTCCATAACGGTCTCACACTCTGCTTTCAGTTTGGATGTAGTTCCCTCTGTTTTGAGATATTTGCCGGCAATCAAGAATTGTTTTTATCGATTAATAAAGTGTTTTTATTTTCACCTGTGACTCTTGTGTTCTAGTTGTCATGAATAATATATGTTGTATGCTGTAGAACAGAGGATAAAAGAGATTTTAAGACATTAGTGTTGGCTCTCTGCATTTAATATAAGATACGGTAATAATCCTGTTTTAGCGACACCACCAAAGTAACAAAAAGTGGTTTATTTTCCAAAACCGACAAGCAAGACTTAACATGATAAACACTTTAAAGATTACAAATGAATCACTGAAAAGAGTTTGTAACCGTACACCAAACAAGTCCTTATAAAACAGCCAGGATTGACTCAAAATGGACCAGTTAAAATATTTAAAAAGGCACACGAATGAAATCAAAACATCACCTCACTGACACAATGGCATAGCAAGATGACCGAGCACTGGACCCTATGTTTTTTTTCTTCAAGAAAACGAAAGTGAATATTTTCTCTGCCAATACTGAAAAATGACATTGCGTTTTACATTTCACTTTGGATTTGTCAAGCAAACCTAAAGCTTATATTTACAGATCTGAATAAAAGTAGAATCCAATGAGTGATACTACATCAAGACGCATTCAATGGAGTCTTGCTTGTTTTTGCCACCCTCCCCCCTCCATTTGAACCCCCACAAATCCCTTCTCAAAAGTCCCCTCACCCCTGGCCCTGTGTTAGATTTTCTCCTCTTTTTTCTCGTCTTCGGTGGGATACGAGTGCCATGTAAGTCTCTCCTCATAGAAAGAGATGACCACCTGCGGACACTTTATGTTGGCCTCCTTCGCCGGCACCAGGTCAGCTTCATCTGAGTTTTTCCTGCAAAGATTAACACAAAAACAAGTTAAACTGACTCTACTTTTTCCATGTAACTTTGAATTTGAATGCTTTCGCAGTGATAGAAGAATCCGAAAGCTGAGAACATTCTGGACAATTTCAAATTACAAACTGTTACACAAATCATCTAGAATTTTCTGGATTTTTGGGTATGTTCACAATGGAGACATGCGAGAAAACAGTTATTTTCAAGGTCACAGGGTGAATTATTGATACATAAATGAAAATACTTTTGGGTGTTAAGTAGTCTTTTAATGACACATTTAGTTGACCAAACAAACCAGGCAGTTACTAATGTTCAACAGTTAAGGTGCACACAAACCATTTCATGAGGAACATGAGTTCTCCTGTGGAGTCTGTGGCACCAATAATCCTCTCTGGATCCAACCCTCGAGCAAAGCCCCTTAGCTTCTCTGTCTGAGGATCACACAACAACACACAACTTCAATCAAGCACAAAACTACATCTGAGCTTAAATTCTAACTACCTACAGTATGTTTAAATTCCAATCTCTGAATTCAAAACAAACTAGGATATAAAATAAGTCTTGTAAAGGCTGAATCCCCAGACTCTTTTAAGATTCTCCAGAAATACCACATTCAACTTGGATGGTGGATCTTGACTAAGGCACTCACCGCAGTGAGGCCCCAGCCTGTACAGCAGGTGAGTGACACGATATCCCTCCCTCTGGAACTCACTCCCACAACCCATCAGACTTTACTGACCTCACCACCTTCAAAGAAACTTACAAAAAATCACCTCTTCAATCTGGCTTTTAATGTGTGATTGTTGTTGTATTGCTTGATTTTAATTTGACTTTAACTATATTTATTAGTTCTTTTCTTTTCACTATCTCTGTAAAGCGACTTTGAGCACCTGTAAAAGCAAAAATAAATCTGTTATTATTATAATATGAGGAAGTGGGGGGACGTGCTGTTGAGGTGTACACCTGGAGTTCCATATGGCTGGGAAACTATTAGCATGTGATGTGGTTTTCCATGACAAAAACATCTTCACCTTGATGTGGTTTAACGTCTTCCTAAACAATAATAAACACCTGTCGCCTGCTACTCTTCCTCGAAAAACAAAAATAATGTATACAATGTTACAACAAGCTGCTTGTGGAAGAACAAAAATAAACTCAGCTGACAACTCTGCTGTTGTCAACAACGGCTGACAACAGCAGAGCACAGTATAGCAAACAGCGCAACACTGCAGGATGCAACTATTTTATTCTGCAAATTATCTTATTTTTACATATGAGAAACATTACACATATTTGAACTGACTGACTTATTTACACATTGGTGGTAAGCTGGCTGAAGTCTTTGTGGTGTGTTCAATCGCATCTTGGTAAAAGAAGATATGGCATAAAGAATAAGGCCTTTTCCACGCGCATACAGGTATTTATTAAACCTAGCTCTTTCTGTGTGTTTTGGTTTTATTTACATCTAAACGGCAGTCTAGGAAACTGAAAACAGCTTTTCTACAACTCCTAGGCTGAACATTTCACAGAAATTCCGTTTCCAGACTTTCGGAAGTCCCTTGCCACTAATGTGGCTGAATGCCTGTGATACCTCATTCACACCAACGCAACTCCGGTTCAAGCTCCGTGCTAGAGCTTTTCAGGTTCAGAACCGGTTCTTCGGTTTAGCTCCGGCTCTTTTCACACTGCCCAGAGTCCGACTGGTGCTGCGTCATTGCGTCATCGTTTGCGTCATGACGTAACCGTTTGCGTGCCTGCTTCATAAAGCCAAACCGCGCGGAAACCCCTCAAAGCTGACACCGACAACAACAAGAATGGCCGATTGTGCTCCAGCTTCCTCTGTACCTCTTTTGGAAGAACAGATTCCCAGTAGGTAGCTGGTCTCTTCAGTGGACCACTGCTGCTTGTTAAGTTTCTCCATCCTTGTGTACAAACTGGATAAAACGCCGGCTTTTTGTTGTTGTTCAGGAGTTGATCCCGCCCCTGCCCCTGCCACCGCCTCGACGTAAGCGTGACGTATGCGGTGGTTTTGCTCTGGCCAGACAATTTTTTGGTGCTTGAAATGAACCGGATTCCGGAGCTAAGAGGCTGCTCCGCTGCGGTGTGAACAGGAAAACCCGGTGCTTTTCAAGCTCCAGCTCCGAACCGGCCCTGAAACACCGTTGGTGTGAATGAGGTATGAGTGTCTGTGTGGGTAAATGGCATTGACAATTGTGTTTAGCATTTTAATTTAAATGTATTTATAAACCTTGTTAACGTGGATGGCATTTCTGCAGAACGGAGGTGGAAAACCGCAATGTACAGAAATACCTGTGTCACTAGGTCTGTCTTTGCTACTTGGAAGTTGGCTTAGTGTGTCAGGGCACCTAATACAAAAGGAACTCTTGCAAATATGCATATAAAGAACAACATTCTAAGAACAAAAACAAAGAATTGGGACTTACATCGTCTTTTTTCTTCTTTGTCTTACTGTCGTCTCCTTCTGCGTCTCCGGCCGCCTTTCTCTTCACATCCTGTGCTGTTTTCTGGGACTGCAGGAATTCTGCAATCAAATCTGGACAATCCAGATTGTCCGATGGCTCCCAGGTGTTGTCCTCCCTGCAGACATAAATACATAAAAACAAAAAATAATAACTTACTCCCATGGTATGTCATTCATTTAGGTTGATGCAGTAAATGATTTTGAGGACAGTATAAATAGGATAATGGCAGAAAAAGAGACGGAATGATAGAACTGCAACAAGAGTTGTGTCAGTCCAAAACCAAATAATATTCACTATAAAACTATATAAAACAGTATAAATCCAGACTTTTCCATATTTGAGAGGCTGATGAGAGTATTTTGGACATTTTGTAATTAAAAAAAATTGACTTAAAAGATAAGTCAAATATCAAAATACCATGTGATCTTTTTTCTGGCAAACAACTAATTAATAATTCATCTGGTTCTTGCAATTCTAGTAAATGATGTGATAGGTTGTTGACAATAACTCAATCCACTCACTCAGAGAAGCCTTTCCACTTGAGAAGATAATCTACTCTCCCTTTCACCACCCGCCGATTCAGGACCTTTTCCACCACATATTCTTCCTCCTCCTCCTCTTCCTCTGCCACATCCTCTGGCTTCTTGTCCTTCTTTTCAGGGACCGCGGTCATTTTGCTTTCTGACAGGTTAGAAACAAAAGCAATAAACAGAGAGTTACCCTTTGAAACTGAAAGCTTCTACGTTAATATTTAGAGTTTAAGATGTTCATGTGTAGATGGTAAATAATTCTGGTCTACAAACATTTAAAGTGCCACTTATACAACTCTTGACACACACCTTACCGCACAAGGACAAAGTGATATAAAGACATATATGTTGTAGTAATGATGTATTAAACCTTCTTTAACAGCGGGAACATCATTAGGGGGTTCTGTAGTCAGGCTCATACTCATCAGGTTGACCTGGGGACCAGCAGGTTCCTGGGCAACGTCAAACAGGATCAATGTAGTAGAGAGGAGAGAACAATATTAGAGGTTGGGATTTATTGAAAAGACACAAGGATAACAATGTGAGGCAATGTAGGTTACAGGCAATGTGTGGGATTCACTTTGTGGAAACAAAATGCATAGACTTGTTGACTTGAAAAAGCCTGCCTAATCTGCGCTGTCAGTTAGCGATTATGTTATGACATGGTGTAAACTCAGTGGATCTCTTAGCAGTGGAGGAAGTATTCACATATGCTTAGGCACTAAAACCATTCGATTATTAATACTAATGCATCCATGTAAAAGCAGTCTCTTACTTTGCAGTTGGTTGAGGTGGAGCATATTGTAATCTATAACGTATTGATTATTTTCTTTATGGATTAATCTTCTGATATGTTTCACCATTAATTGTTTGATTGTTTAGTAAAAATGTGGCAGATAGTGAGGAATGCGGTCACATTTACCTTTTATATGATTTGTATGCAAAATTTGAGTAGGTTGATTTAATTACTTACTTTCTTATTACATGTCACTTGTTAGACGCTTTTATCCAAAGCGACTTACATACATTCAGTACTGTGGACAATCCCCACAGGAGCAATTTGAGGAGAAGTGTCTTGCCCAGTGACACAACGACATGCTGACTGCAGTGGGACTCGAACTTGCTAATCCCCCAGATTCAAAGTACAGCGCACTATTCCACTGAGCCACAGCCTCCCCTTATCTATGAATAATAAGATAAAACCTAACCTTTTGATGAAAATATGTATGAGAAACATTTACAAAATAATGACTTAGTATCTCAAAATTACAACTTAGTGTCGCAAAATAATGAGAATCATTCTGAAAATAATTACTTGTCATATAATAACTTAATGGTGCAAAATACCAAAAAACCTTCTCAAAAAATGGCATGTACTTGTCTTGAAATAAGTTTATTGTTACACAACTCAATATTTTGACAAAGCTTCTCGTTATTTTGAGATTAGTATGACAAGTCATATAGCCTACCTAAGTCATGGGGAAACTAAGTCATTATTTTTGAGTAATATTCTCATTATGACATATTTTTTCTAACACATAGTTAGTAATGGGCTTCCATTCTGATCACCATCAGCAGGATATTTACTGAGTCGCTCCCTCAATATTCATCCCGTTACTGATGTCTGACCGTTTGCTTCAAGTGCCAGCATCAACAACTGTGCACAGGTTTCCACACCTGGCGACGACTGCACAATGCAATGTGGAAATGCAGAAATAAAGAAAAAAAACAACAACGTTTTTCCCTCTCTTCACTAGCATTGTCGTTGTGAAAAATACATACAATATAAGGGGGCGTTTTGTGGCTAACGTTAGCACGCAAACAGAAGAAAACACTGCACGACAAAGCCTCGGAGAGACCCACAGTTTCAGATAGATGGTGTCTCCTCCTCCATATTGCTTTTGTGTTAGCAACTCATGTAACATACTCTAGTCTGTTGTGTCTGTCGGTTATGTGTATTTTTATAAATGCGTAATGTATAAACTAAAAAGAGTACGCTATGTTCATCCCCATTGTAAACATGCACATTAAGGGCTGGCTACCGTTAGTCTCGTGCACAATCAAACATTACCGAGACAACCCACTTAGAGGGAGGAGGGAAGGTAAAAAAATAAACTCACCGACTCACAATTTAATATTTGTATAACCTCCAACCGAACCGATATAAAAAAAACACGATATTCTTTTCCTCGTATTTTTTTGTGATAATGTCGCTGTTTGCCTTGACTTGATGTAACATGCAGAGCCGCTAGCTTGACTAAACTGAAATGTATCGTTTCCGCCCCTTCGTCTCTGGTATCAGGGAAGAAAAAAAGGTGGATGGACCGAGCAGATTCACAGATTCTAAAGCATATGGATTTACTCACCAACGTAACCGGGGCAGGTGGTGCTGCGTGCAGGTGATATATAGATCTGTGGAGTGTGAGCAAACAGTGGACCCTATGGATGGAACGCCCCTCTCTGCATAGGCTTACACACAGTGGGGGGGAAAGAGTTGATACATTCAAATAAACAAATTAGCCTTTATATGTTTACCTTTGGAAAGTAGTTAATGATACGACAACCCCTTAAAAATACGTCAATTTTCAAACTTCTTACATTAATTCATAAAGCCAAAGACATTCCAAGAATATTAATAAACATGAATAGCTCTCTCCCAAATCTACACAATGTTGTGATGTCATCAAAAACATGTTGGGGATTTGCTCCATGCAACATATAGGGGAATCTATATAGGTACATATTCTGTATCAGAATCATACTCAGACTGAATATCTTATATTATTCTTAATATAATTTTGACTTACCATAAATGGCCTTTTTTAGACCTACAGTCTGAACAGCACATCATTTTAGCAGAGCAAGTGATAATTCTATTCTGCACATTATTGTTGATGGTTAGATGCTAAAACTGCATTTTGTTCTTTCAGTAGTCTACGTCAAATATGTGCATTGACAATACAGTTTAATCTAATCTAAAATCATATCTAAATTAAATACCCTATAATTGTACCTTATAATGCAAAATAACGACCAAATATCCTAGTTTTCACCGATCATAATTTATCTCACAACTTTGACTCGCCATGAATGACCTTTGTTATTACTCTTCAGCCAACTGTACATTTTAGGGGCTTAATTCAGATACATTTCCGATTACTTTATTCCCTGAGCAAAAACTCCCTGAAATCAGTAAGTGTAATTTACTTGCCAGGAAAAGGGTCCTTTAAATTACACTTACGTTGAATTTCAGAAGCTACATGTCTCACGTTTATCACGTGAGCAAACAGTAAGCAAGTGTTTAATTAAACTTGTAATATTAAACCTATTGATATTTGTTGTCAACATGTATTTTTATTTCATGTTGTCAGTTGAAATATTATTGAAATATTATTGGTGAATACAAAAAAACAAAAATACCTCTGCCCGCATGCCTACCGGAAGCATACACGTCATTGTTTCGTCGCAGCAATTGAAGCTTGTGACTTGCGAAACGAAGAGGGGAGCTGTTTGGACAAAACAAGCCTCATTATTTGAGGATCTTGCGCTTAAATAAAACTGAAACCTCGACAGGCAGGACTTCATCGACCAAAGCCGGCTGGATACTTCCGCTGCAGCCGACATATAACTCGTGAAAGTAAGAGGGCTAGTTGGGGTTAGCATTTAACGTTAGCTGATGTTTCCTGTAGCCACATTGTTTAGAAGTGTGTGTATTCAGGCCAGAACACTTACGTTGTTTTTCGGAAAAGTGTTGGCTGTTATGGAGAAAACGTTATACATGCGAATTCGTTCTGAGATATCTTATTTTGCATTACTTACTGAATTAATTTTAAACAGATCAGGGCACAATTATCAGAAAACACCCATCATAGCTACAATACTTTATCTGTTTTCATAGAGAAATGGCTGATAAAAGTGAGTTGATAGTACTTTGTTTAAGAAACGTGGTGGTGCAAGTTTCTCGGAAATAAACATTGTCTGAAATGCATTTAGTTATTGTCAACATCAATTGATACAGCTATTTCATTTGTTTTATTTATCATTTTTGTTTTCAAATGATATTGAAGATATTACTTTGGATACATTTTTATATTTTCTTACGTTTTGTAATAGCTAATTTAAAAAAATTTTTTAGTACAAATACTTGATAATGAGCGTAATTATATTTCAGCCCTTATTGACATGTCTTATCATTGCTAATGTATTAATTAATGTATTATTTTTAGAGTATTTTGTAAAACTTTTGTTATCTGTTTGCTTTCTGAAGCTAGTAATTACAGAATATCATACAAATGATACTGTGTATGATTGTGCATGTGAAAAATACACATGATTTAATTTGAAACAACCAATCGATTAAAAAAAATAATATCTCTGTAAGGAAGATAGTTGTTTGTTGCCGCCCTAATCGGAATGTGCCAGACCTTACTGGTGATGGGTGAGTTAGCCTGAGTTATATTAAAGGAATGTTGGTGTACCAGCTCTACAGTTCTGGTAGATAAGCTAATAATAGAGAGCGGAAATACAAAAGTCAGACTTAGCAAACTACTGTATTTCCAGGAAAGGTGTATCTTCATTAAACACCCTGAAAAAGAGTCTAACCCCAAATGCTAAAGGGACATGCCTGCCACAGTGACTCAGTGGATTGTGCTGACCAGCCTCTCTTTGGCAGGATGAGTCATCAGCTCATGAAACAACACTATAGAAGACGTAACACAGTTTGATCTTTATATGTAATTTCCTCATCATTGATTTCCCCTCTCGTTGCAGTGCTGCACTCGGTAGGATGATCAACAATCAAGAAGAAGATGTAAGTAACCTCCCTTCCCTCTTTTTCTGCATGTAATCTTAGAAACTGTCTAATGTTATCTTGTTGGTGAAATCTAAAACTCTCCCTTTCCTTAAAAATCCCAATTAACAAATGTCAAAGAACAATTTGCCCATTGATGTGTTTAAAGACTTGTAATGCATGACACACAGCTTGTTCTGTAGATTTGAATCTTTTGGTTTGGTTCTTTTGTCATACTGATATTCTGTACAAACTGTGAAGTCCACTGAGACAAATGTAACATTTGTGATATTGGGCTATATAAATAAACATTGATTGATTGACCACGATGAAGCAATACACACAGACACTACAGTTTATATTTAAACTTGAGACTCTTTTTGTCCTTTTTAGGAGTTTGTTGCAGTGCGGGTCCAAGATCCCCGCGTGCAGAATGAAGGCTCCTGGAATTCATTTGTGGATTACAAAATATTCCTACATGTAAGTATTAGCCCTTAAATTACAATTGCCTGCCTTTCTTTTTTCTTTAAATACAAATGGAATATTTTAAGCTTTTTGGTTGGATAAAAATGTAGAGAGGCAATACATATTTTAGGATAACAACCATCAGAATAATCAAAAACAAACGTTATTTTTCGCTTCTAAATGTTTTGCCGGGAATAACCTAGATTTATTTTTATTTGAAAAGTTGAATGACATTTAATGGACTTTGTTGAAATGTGCCTCAGTAATCAACTGGCCTCATCTTAAATTAAGACACAATAATTACATGTAGTCTTTTACCATTGTAGAAGTATTTCCAACTAACCTACAAACATAGTTTCTATTAGGCCTATGTCATACTAAACCATGCTAATGACTGCAATAGGAATCAATAGCCTGAAGTACCAAAAAAGTGAGGGACCATATTGAATTTGGGTTTAACCGAACTCCAATTTCTGGAAGCACTGCGTCTGCAGCAGCATGGATTCCTTACATGTTTTTGTACCGGAGTTGATAATGTTGTCAGGGCAGCCGCCTGTGTTGAGTAATGCTGTGTCAGCAGCAAGGCTTCATGCACAGAGGGATGTGCTGTGTGGGTGTTGACTCATGAAATTGGCTAAGATCATGTGACCTCCTTTTGTGTCACTATAAACTATTGTTTTTCGTAGAGGTAAATGTGACAGCAAGGACACAAAACAAGTTTGCACAAAGTTAAAATGAACATCTATATATTTCAAAGCTTTTACTCAACAAGGCCTTGTGTTTTCTTTCCCACACATTTACTAATTGAGCAGCCATAACAAACAATACGATTCTTTATTGATTATCCTGCATATTATCTTTTGAAAAAACAGATCAATTATTTTGTCAAGAGAAAAATACCTGTTTGAGTTTCCCTAAGACACAGACGGAACTTCCTGTTTTGCCGTAACCACAGTCTGAAACCCAAAGATATTTTAGTTTGCGATCATGTGCGACAAAGACAAATACTCAGACATTTGAAATACCGGAACAAGTTTGTCGGAACATGTTAGTCATTTCTTTCAAAAATGTCTAAAATAGTTGCAGTTACAGAATACATGAATTGATCAAAAAAGGGAAGGACGGATGTTTTTGAGGACCTTTACCCTTTTAATGGAATTAGTTTTAATGACGTGAGAACTTAACCAATGCTGCCCGTAATTGATTATGGTCTGTCAGACGGAGCTTGTTATGCAAACATCAGTTGACTGTGTCACAGCACGCTACTGGAACAAAACTGACCTATGATAACGTTTTAGTCCTGCTATACCTCAGCAGGAGTTAGGTCTCGAGTTACAACATTAGGTTGAAAAGATTGAATATGAATAAATTGAAAGATGAGGCTAGTGCTATGATATATTTTTCTTATTGTCAATAAATAGCTTAGACCAAAACCCTCCTGGCTCCTACTTTGGCTCTGAATAATAGAGTTTTGTTGACAGTAATATATATTTTTAATTTGCAGACCAACAGCAAGGCCTTCACAGCCAAGACGTCGTGCGTGCGTCGGCGCTACAGTGAGTTTTCCTGGCTCAAGAAGAAGCTTCAGAAGAACACGGGCTTGGTGTAAGTTGTTGTGAAGAGGGAGAGTCTTGTTTAACTATAGAGTGCTGCAGGATGTGTTCTATAACCAGGAAATGAGTTTGCATTTTTACACTTCTGGTTCTCCTATCCCTTAGTCAATGAGCTTTTTGGATGGGCCTTTGGTTAAATGTGTATAAAAAATGTCTGTGGTTAACACAAGCTCGAACGATTTGACATTTTGTCTTCTTCTCTGTAGCCAGCATTCACTGCCAGTGTTTTACTCATGCTCTTTCACAGGAAAGTCTTTTGTAGTAGAGATAAGAGCGTAAAATCAAATAACAAGCGGCAAGTTAAGGGGTAGTGATGTTGAAGTCAGGCGACCATGATGTAAATCGTTTATTTGTTTCGCTTCAAAATTATAGAAGAGGTTAATTTGTGAATATTATCTTGCAATGAAGAAGTCCAATTGGCTTTTTGTCATGGGTCCATACTAACTTCCAAGTTGGCCCTTAACATGTCATCCCTGCTGCAGTGCTGCAGTCTTAAATTCAATTATTTTAATGTATTTTATTGTGAAATGGTGTTAAAAAGAGAAACCAAAGAAGCATGTCACCCATTTTTGTAAAGTTCATCAACATTGCACTTCTGTTCCATACTTACTGAAGTGAAGAAGCTATAATCTACAAACAGGGGTGTTTTTTTCTTCCTTGTAGGCCAGTCCCAGACCTTCCAGCTAAGTCCTTCTTCTCCTTCATTAATGAGGACTTCCTGGAGAGGAGGAGGAAAGGTCTTCAGGCCTTCTTAGACAGGTCAGTTCTTTAAGTGTTCTTTGAACAAATATATTTCATCTGCTGTAATATAAATTACATTCTTGTTATGCAAACTACGATTATAACAAATACCTTTTTGTCCTGGCAGTGTGGTGAACATGACAGTGTGTCTGTCAGACAGCCAGCTCCACCTCTTCCTGCAGACTCAGCTGCCAGTGGGTCACATCCAGGACTGCGTGCAGGGCCACACTCCCTACTCTGTGACGGACGCCATCCTCACCTACGTCTCGTCCAATCGGGGCTACGCTCAGGCACAGGAGGATGATCCCATCAAGGAGTCAAGTTTGACCGTTTCATATGAGTCCATGGAGAGGTAGGATTTAGTCTTAATGGTGTTGAAAACAATTTTTTCCTTTGCATTGTCCCTTCTGTTTAATTAAGATTATTGATTATTTATGTGTACGTGCCATTGCAAGGCAGATAGTTTTATTTTTTAAAGCATGTTTAATACACAGGATGGTTCAAGGTGCTGGAAAACATGTAACTATAACACACTATGCAAAGTTAAAAAACATCAATTCCTCATCATATTGCTTAATGTAGGTTTTTAGACCTCCTGGATGTTGTTTTTTGTATTCATTGAATTAAAGATAGTTTGAGACTTATTCACTTCTTATTCACTCTTGCTGAATGTTTGATGGAATATTGATCTCACTCGTTTATCAATATGGTTCATATGTAGCTAGTTAGCTTAGTGTTGTAAAAGGGGCAACAGACACTCTGGCTTTGTCAAAAGATGATAAAATCTGCCCCCTGCCTGGCCTATAAAGAGTCCAGCTCATTACCAACTTCCTGATTTACAGTTCCGCGTTTGAACAACTTTAGAGGTGCAGCAAAGCAGATTTGGTTACTGAAGGAAAGAGGCAGGCTAGCTGTTACCAGTCTAAGTGCTAAGCTAAGCTTCCTGGCTACTGACGGTAGTTCTATGTTTAACATACAGAGTTCTTGACCACTCTCGTCAAGAACATAAATAAGTGTATATCCCAAGCTTCTTTTCTGTTCGACTTACTTTTATAGGAATCATTTGTGCAAAGATCTTTACTTTTTTATAATAGGGAACAGCTTTAATTATTACGTTATTTTCCCAAAGGAGACCAAATTGTGTTGAGAAGCTGTCAACTTACCAAATGATTCAAGATTCATTCATTTAGTGTAGTTATGGTGTAGTTATGCAATGAATGAAGCACTTAGGTCATAGGTGAATTTTTATTAAATTATATTAAAATTGTCCAAAACATTTAAATAGTGTAAGCTCAGGTGTTAAATAGTCTTATGGCCTGTGGAAGGAAACTGTCTCTGAATCTGGTCATTTTAGTCCTGACGCTGCGGTAAATGCTTACCATATTCCCAGTAAAGATAGTTTCGAATCTGGCTTGAGTGGGATTTGTGGCAGAGTTAAAAAAAACTGTGGGTTATAGTGGGGGAACTACTATTCTAAACAAGTTCCTGTTCTGTTTAAATTGTAAGTTAATAAATGTTCTTCTCTGTCCCGCTTTACAGCCCAGTTCCTCATCAACCTTGCCTACAACTTAAAGAGACCTGCAGTCCAGAGCTTTTGTCCTGTGTTGACTCTGAACCTCGAGATTGTGAACTGGAGCGCGATGATAAGGACACAGTTGAGTTCCTGCACAAGGAAAACTCCTCAGTAATGGTCCTCCAGGGGGACAACCATCTTGAGGCCATTGTTGAGGACTGTGTCCCATCAGAGGCAACCTTTTATCTGGGTGAAAGCCAGAATGTTCCTGAGAGTCTCAGCCTTGAAGAACAGACTCGGCAGAAAAGCCGTCGGATACAGACACCTGTAGAGGTGCACTCGCCCATGAATACTGACTTCCAGGAGAAATGTGTGGTGGATAGCTTGTTTGAGGAGTGTTCCGTAAGAGAGGAGAGCGATAAGACAGTGGATACAAAAGATATGAATGTTCCTCATCCAGACACAGAGGAGAAGGTTGTTCCTCATCCGGACACAGAGGAGAAGGTTGTTCCTCATCCGGACACAGAGGAGAAGGTTGTTCCTCATCCGGACACAGAGGAGAAAGTTGTTCCTCATCCGGACACAGAGGAGAAGGTTGTTCCTCATCCGGACACAGAGGAGAAGGTTGTTCCTCATCCGGACACAGAGGAGAAGGTTGTTCCTCATCCGGACACAGAGGAGAAGGTTGTTCCTCATCCGGACACAGAGGAGAAGGTTGTTCCTCATCCGGACACAGAGGAGAAGGTTGTTCCTCATCCGGACACAGAGGAGAAGGTTGTTCCTCATCCGGACACCGAGGAGAAGGTTGTTCCTCATCCGGACACCGAGGAGAAGGTTGTTCCTCATCCGGACACCGAGGAGAAGGTTGTTCCTCATCCGGACACCGAGGAGAAGGTTGTTCCTCATCCGGACACCGAGGAGAAGGTTGTTCCTCATCCGGACACAGAGGAGAAGGTTGTTCCTCATCCGGACACAGAGGAGAAGGTTGTTCCTCATCCGGACACAGAGGAGAGGGTTGTTCCTCATCCGGACACCGAGGAGAAGGTTGAACACTGTGAAAGTTCTGTGGAGGCAAATACGGAAAAGGTCCACTTCGATTTTAAGGACAGTGACTTAAAGAACCCTCTTTTAGTAAGTGCCACCATATCCCAAGAGGAGGTTCTTGAAGTCTGCTTTGAGAAAAGTGTTTTAGAGAATCATGTTGTCTCTGAAGTTAATGGACTGGAACACGTTGATTCTACTGAGACTCCTGTTGAAGATGCCAGCTGTCTGGAGGAGTTTAAGAGCGCAGACAAGGAAATGAGCGATGAACCTGAGAGGAAAGATGAGATGGCATATATGTCAGAAATCCATGAAGAGACTGACAATGTGCACCCAGAGGTGGAAGGCAGCGACGATGACCTTTTTCAACATATGGACCAAGTTGAACAGGAAGACCATCTGGTTGAACAGGAAGTGGATCTGGTAAGGACCAAAGATGACAGCGACGAGGACAGCCAGTCATCTTCCAATGAAAGCATTGTCAAGGTCAGCGATGAAGAGAGCGTCTGTGACGAGGCAGAGGAGCTGATCCACTCTGCAGAGGGACACATGGAGACTCCTCACGAGGAGGTCGCTCACTGGGCAGAAGAAGTGCAGACCCCAAGGGCAAACATTTTGGACCTACACGTCAATGGATGCATTGTGGAAAAAGATGACATTCTTGCCCATGAGGAGGACGACTTGCAATACATTACCGAAATCAGTGACTTGCATACATCTCTGGATTTGATCTCAAGTGTAACAGGTGGAGATTTGACAGAAAATAGTGACTTCAGTATCTTAGAGAGAAGCTGCACACCTGAGTTAGCTGATAGTGGAAGTGCGCAGAAGGAAAACGTGTCCTTGCAGTCTTTGGATGCCTCAAAGGAGGCTCATGAGGTAGAGGTGCTTTAGTCAAACGGCTGAATGGTCTCACATACCTGGGCTTCACCCTTACAGAGGCAGAAAACTAAATATTGTGAAAGCTGTCTTCTGCCATAGACACATTTGATCTCAAACACACAAAAACAAGGCACATTAAAATTCTGCTCTTTATAAACCATCTTCATATGATGCCGTATTTGGGCCATTGTATGTTAAAATATTAAATAATTAAGAGCCGGAGCAGGTGGGTAGTAATCAGTGAAAAACAATCAGAATTTCTCAAAAGTGTACCAAAAATAAACTTTAACATTCTGATATTAAAATAAATCGTAAATGTATAAGAAAAATGCTTTTTTTAGTCAAGGAACTAGATTGCTCAAATTTGCAAAGTTGAATCAACCCCACAGCTGCCAGTCAAACCATAGACGGGCGGTGCAACATTATGGAACATGGTGACATCCTTCATCTGTCCATTGTGTTGGGGGTCCGGCACAAAAGGCTTTAACCTCACCGAATCTGTACGTTGATTTTTTTCTGAATATGCCCAATTCTTGGCAATATCTCTTGAAAGTCTGAATGCTTATTATAATAATATGGTGATTCCAGGCTAAAATAACAAGTATTTCCGTATTGCTATTTTTGGTCATCTACTGCAGGCGTCATACACGTGAGTTTAATCCAACCTTGCAAAGTGAATCGATTTGACCAAAAAAGAGCATTTTTCTCATAAAAGTTTGACTTTATTCTGTGTGTATTTATAATTGTATTGTAATCTACAATGGCCCTTGTGCGCTGTAGTATCTTCACAACGTAAATGGTCTGATCTGTCACAAATGGTAAGTCTAACTAACTAATGATTTTTTTTCTTGTTAAATAATGTATATTTAATTTTAAAGTGCACCTTAATGTACACTCGGGTAAACAAAAATATTGGCGCTGTTTTTCTCTGGTTTGGTGTTCATTAGCTTTTTGGGAACACCAGAGGGGGCTCAAGTTCACCAAAAGCATATGAGGGGAATTTTCTTTTTTAAATCCATAAATGAAGTGCTAAGGCAATGGTGTAAACATCAAATGTGAATTAAAAAATGTTTATTTAAGCTTAATTAGCTTTCTCTAAAATGACGTCATTCTCTGGATGAAATTTTGGTAGAAATGTACACTTGTATCAAAGGATAGATACACCTTTTATTCAAGTCTCTATAATACCACTTTTGGGGCCGTAATTGATTCTGCTGTCCATGCTGACGGTCAAGAGATACCATCATTTAAAAAGGAAATCTAAATTGACAGTAAAAAACGCTTCCTGTAGTGAAGTCTATTTACTATATTTCTGTCTGTATTTCCTTAAGTAGCTGGGGAGACAGGAAGAAAAAGAGGAAATTCAAAACAAAAACAACGTTATCAACCTAACCTGTAAGTCAGGCTGCTGAAGCATCAATATAACAATTGTTAAAATGTTATACCTTCACGGCCAGTTTGGACAGGAGAAAAAACGCTTAAAATCTGATTAAATCTACCGTTACAGTCACTGGAGAATCATACACAGTTCTCATTTGCAACCTCATTTAATGTGAAACATTTAAAAAACACTTTATACTTTAAGTCAACAACTGTCTCCTGTTGAATCCTGATAAAGATACGTTTTAAAATCCAGGCCTGCTGCTCGACAACAATACTGTTAGAATCAGCATGTCCTGTTTATAATCCCATATGTCACTAGCTGGCTTTGTGAACCAATGAAAGACGCACTGTGTTGGAGTCAACATTAAACCAGTTCAGTAACATGTTAGAACTAGTAATAGTTTACCCTTATGAAGCACACTGCTCTTACAAATGATGTTTTATAGATATTTATTAGGAGAGCTCAAATGAAAACATTTGAACCCATCAATGCACACATGAATATTAGGTTTTGTTATTGAACTTTTTATAAATAAATGATAATAATTTGAACCCCTGTGCAATAGTCACTGACAACTTGACAGTTTTAGATTTCCAGAATGTTTATTCAATGTTTGTGTCATTTCTGTACGACTTCTGCTCTTTCACTGAATTTGTTTAATGTTCAAAACTCACAACAGATACACTCACTAAGCTTTTGTATTGTTAGTCTGGCAGGGTGTGTTTCAAGTGTATTTATGGGCTACACTGCTCTTTGGGTTATAGTTTGTTTAATCACAGCATACATTCTAAGAGTATGGATGTACGTTTTCCACGTTGTTGTCGAGCAATTCTGCTGCTGGTGATTTTATTCCGTTGCATTTGTTTAAAAGGGACCCAGAGTTTTGTGTGGTTGCACAGAGAATTAAGCCTTGTCACACATCCTTTGTTGTCTAGGTGGATAATAGATGACTGGTTTTCATTGTTTGTTCTACACTGTCAATGAGTGCAGGTTTTTTTTTTTTCAAAAGCTGCTTTTAAGAATTTGTATTTTTAAAAGAATGTTTGCCCTATGCAGGAGACCTATTTTATAACATGGATCTACAAGGGCCACTATGAAACCCTGAGTGACTGTGTCCATGTATATCATTTTATTTCAAATAAATAGTTTTTCTTCTTAACTGTGTTGAATGTTTTTTTTCTGTGGTTTAATGTTACTGATTTTACATGTTTTACAAAACATCTCTTATGGTTTTAAGACAAGATATTGGAGCAATCCTGCCGCCTAGTGGCTGAAAATGAAACAGTTGAATAACCCACCACACAGACTTCACTGAAGAGATCAAACAAGAAGGAAAGGCTTTAAAGTCTGGGTACAATGTATTTAAAACATTATTCATATTGTACATCACATCTGATATTTTTTAACCTCTATCCGAAAAATGAGAATCAACAATTTACACAGTTCTCAATTTAAACAGTTAATTGATACATTAGTATTCAGGATTGCATCCAACAATTATTTTCATTTTAATTTGTATTTACCACTGTGATAAATAACTGTTTAGTTATGAAAAATATCCCCATTAAAAGATCCCATGCTTCAAATTACTTTTATGCCAAAACGGCAGTCAAAATCACAAATATATAAAAGTTATACTGATATAAATCAAAGAAAATGGACATTTTAGGAGCTTTTCTTGATAAATGACAAACAAAAAAACAATTATCACCAGAGCTAACACTTCTTTTCATTTAGTTATTTTTCAGATCATTTTATTAAGTTTATGAAAAATCCCAATTTAACAGAGCCCAATGTAAACTCAAAACTTATTTTCTTTGTCCCATCTTTAGTACAACACAAATATATTACATTTATAATTATATAAAACAAATTTGCTTTTCCTTATAAATTACTTCAACAATCAAAATGTGTGCCGCTTAATTTTCTGTTCATTGAGAAACTGATTGGTCAACTTGTTTTAGCTTGAGTTTGAACATTAATGTTGTAGGAAAAACGTTTATAAGTGATTTTAAGTGTACAGGAATAAGTACTACGGCAGCACATCCTCATGATATAACTTAGTCTTATGAGAGAAAATACTTTTCAAATAACAATAGATAATGTGAAGGGGCCGACTCTGAAATGTATGGCCGGCGTCAGTAACAGTGCTGTGAAAATAAAAACAAATAAACACACCATCAGAGAAACATGCATTAATAATTCAGTATTCATTTTTAGCTGTGCCTATCTAACAGTATTAGGGAATCATTTTCTTAAATAGGACAACCGGCGCTGTAATCATGCTTTTGTTGCACATATTTATTCATACCCATTGCCCCGTTAAGATTACGCAGTACTTCTTCCAGCCAGCAGATGCCATAAATGGCAGGTCAACGACTGAATATACCTCAATGGCAATCTCGATGAGTACCAGGGGGACCGTTTTTGTGTATTAGGCCACAGTAATGGTCCATAATGCTGATGATAAGAGAGTGCCTCGGTACCTGTTGGAGCTCAGAGGATGTAGGCAGGGTGCATGAAGTCCTTGGGGACGATCCCCACAGCACCGTTCAGCTCGCCAACCCACCAGCCGTGAATATTGTACTCCTGGACCCAAAAAAACAATAAAAGCAAACCATAAGTCTCCTCAGGGGCTCAAGGACAAGTAAACAAAGCAGGATTAAGCACCGATCTCACATTTCTATTTGATGCAAGTGAAGCGTTCGTCTCATGTTATTAACATTATAACAACCATTGGAAAGATTTGGACTCCACCTAAATGTGTCTCGGCTACCGTACAGTCGATACAAAAATAATAATGTTAAAATTGTATTAACTCGAATTCGGCAAAGGAAATTCAAGAGAGTCTCAATATCACCCGAAGAAGAACAATGCACAATATATATCTAATGAGCACTGCCGGTGTATTAGCCTACAGGGTTTTCACTAAAAAAGATTTTAAAAAATGGGAGAAAAAGGTAAACGAGACTATTGAGACAGCGTGTATTTAAAATAAACTGCTATTTATTTGAACTGCTTAATAACGATAACAACAGCCGGCCCGTTTTCCCAGACTAATTATGCAAGACTTTAATTCTGCTCTGTAGTTAAAAAAGAAACAGGAAACTGGAGTCTTCCATTTACAAAGAGAAAAACAAGATGTAATGGTTTGTAACATTAAAGAGATGACTTAAAAATAATACCTCAATCTAAGTTTAGTTATTACATTATTTTCATTTCAACAAAAGTTGAATACCTTTAGGCCATAAAATGAAACAAGCAGCTTTGCAAATCATTTATTTCTAACTCCTGGTGGGCATTTGCAATAAACTTGGACATTTCATAGTATAAATGACAGGGGCATAAAACAACAAAGCATTTATTTTCTGACTAAATTCAAAAATTAAAACAAAATAATTTCTTGTCATTCAAAATATAATGCCACCTCCCTTTGTTTGCGTAGTGAAGAACAACGACAAAAGCTCGTATGTATCCTACAAGATATTAAGAGACAGTGAGCTGCTCTCAAATTTGACCTTAAAAATAAAAGGCCCTCTTTTAAATAGAGGCTTTATATACTTTCTATTTTCTATTTACTGTTGGCTGACTATGGTGTTTTTTACAATTTACACTTGTATTTTGAAAGTTTCTAGATCCATTTAATTGTATTGGGGTTGGATTGTATCATTTATCCATGTTTGGTAAATTGTCTACTCACCTAATAGTAGAAAAGTAATTGCTTATTAGGTTAGAAAAATCAAAACATTATTTGTATGGTGTAAATATTCTTTCTAAGGCCCATTAGGAATTTAAAAAAGCAGATATTTTACAGATAATTTCTATGGCTTCCATGGCTCTGCATCAACAATCTTTATTTCCTTCCAGCTCTTACCTATTGTAAAACTGGAATAACAAAATCTTTCATTCATTATTACATTTTAGGAATTTGAGTGTCATTAATAACCTCATGATCATCTGATTGCAGCAGTCGGGCTCTAACTAGATGTACTGGATCAATATTTGACCAGAGAGCAGAGGGGCGTAGGAGCCCAGCAGTCGCAGCAGAAGAGGCACCAGCCGGCCCTAATTTTCCTGCCCTGATGGAACGAGGAGCCTCTCATCTCTCCTCTGTTCTCCAGCAGATTGAAAATGGCTGCGTGAACAGTTTGTCTCGGCACTGAGGAGCAGATGAAACGCTCAGCTACACATTCACACACAACGTGCGTGCGAGCAGACACATGTAACGTATAAAGTTGTACACGTCTGAGATTAGAATCAGACTTTTCTTCCTGCTCTAACAGGCTCTAGCTGTGAAAACACACACATACTTTGACGTGATGAACGACATTTTGTCAAAGGTTCAGCCCATCATCCAGACCTGCCACCTCCCTCCGTCCAGAGGAATGAGGCCTGCAGCTAATGAGAGGTGTTTGGACAGCGACGATGAATGGATTGCTTAGAAAGTAATAAACCACAAGACTCAAGTGTTCTTACGGCACAAACAGGTACCCGCAATAAGCAGATTGTCCATCCAGGCCTCATCGTTTTCCCCTACGAGCCTCGCTGACAGCTCACACTGGGATGCTCCAGTGTGCTTGGCACTCTGACAAACTCTGAGTGACTGTGTTGGGCTCATAAAGCAGGGGAAAGTTAAGTCCGAAATGGTCTTTTTATGCTCCCCAAAAGACTGTAGAGGGAAAAGCCCAGTTGCGGAAAGCTGGCTTTGGTTCCAATTCTTGATAACGTGAACAGAGGAGGAGGAAGGGGGGGACAGACGGACGGAGGGGAGGCATAGGAGAGAGGGAGCGAAACAGTTTTTCTCTCCCTTGGGGGCGTCGCAGCACTATTCCACCAACCATAGTGACAGAGAGTTTTATTTATCTCCACAGCCCATCTGTGCAGTCGGTCTCAAATTCTCCCTAAGAAAGGTCTTTTGGATTATCAGCACCGCCATTTTAATACAACTGCTACATCACAGAGTGGGTGCCAATGGCGGTGGAAGTCTGTCAGGCGTGCAGAGTCCATCTTCCTCATACTTGAAATGGGTTCATCCAGAGTACACCTGCTGTAATAGGGACATTCCAAGAGGCGGGGAGAGTAAATTATCCAAATGACAAAAACTATGCAAACTCCTCAATGTCCTCTTCCTTCTGTTTGTTTTCCCCTCAATGTTCTTAGGGTTGATTTGTTTTTGTGTGATTTTGCATCTTAATGCTAAGGTCTGGGCAAAGAACAGGCACATATTGGCATATTGTGGCGAGTTGTATTAGTTTTTCGTCTGAGAGGGAAGATGTTCCCTCCTAAATTCTCTGGGGTGATGTAAATCAAGCGTCCCCTGGGTTCAGGGAAATGTCTCCGTTTTTTTTCTCATTAGCAATATGTTGCAAGATGCAGGGTTAGGTTGATGGGTGACAAATATCAGAGCCGCTGTTTGCTGCAACCTGGATGCAGATCAGACCCACTCTAGGAGGGAGGAAGGGGAGGGGGGCCAAACAGCGCCGTGTCGTGGCGGCTGTGGCGCGTTGACTCGTTGACCTCCCGGTGACTCCTCCGCCGAGAGAGCGAGGGAATGAGGCGTGGGCGGGGCTGGCACTGAGAGCGGGTTGCCATGACAACACCTGCAGTGTACCGGCGCGATCGTTTATTTACCACTCAGGGGGCTGGCTAATGGTGGCATTCTGATAGGCCCATCGCTCATGTACCCGACCGGAGGACAGATTGACAGCTACCCGAGCCTGAAGCGAGGAGAAGGTGAGTCGAGGTTGGGTGGATGCGTTAAAAAGACAACGGGTGAGACTGGTGATGCTAACGTGTACCAAAAAAAACATGTCAAAAAATAAATGCACCTTTAGTTTTTTTTTGGGGGGGGAATACAACATCTGTAGAGATTCAGGGTCCATGTCCTTTTCTTCCTTTCTCATCTTGTTCTCACACACACACACATACTTGCAGATGAACCACACACACAAAGACACACACACACACAGAATCCCAAATGCATACAAACTAGGGGGAGTGCTAATAAGCCTGACACATGAGGCATCTTTCCTCGGCCACCAGCTGACTGAGGCAGGCCTTGGGCGTGATGGAGCGCAGGAAGTTTCTCATTGCCCTGCCGCTGAACCCGCCGCCTGGGTGTTACAATCTCTCCCTCCCTCCCTGCCTCCTTCCCCATCTCCAACCCCCTCCCTCCTTTCCTCCCCTTGCTTTCTTTCCATCTCTCCTGTAACAGCCTTTCCACTTGCATCCTCTCCTTTTTTATTTTGTTGCATATCCTACTCCTCTACCTAGACTCATCAGATGCACTGCAGCTCTCTGCAGTTCTTCCATCACTAGTTACTCTAACAAAGAAACATGGACGCAAAGCTGCTTTATTTGTAACCCCCTATTAGGTTAGCGAGATCTCCTCCCTACTCACACAGGTTACACCTCACAAACAACATGAGAATACCTGACACTGTTGGGGGAAACCCTTAGTTTGGTGCAGTTATAAGGACTTTGTGCCAAAAGAAATATTGTCGAAATCCATCCAGAAATATGGACGATAATTCTGCACAACCAAAGATCGAAATGGCTACTTAGTGTCCATTTTTTTCCAAGTGGGCTTTTAATTAAATCAGTGAATTGGCTTCAAATTGGAAACATGACAGAGCATGAGAACCTTAGAAAATATCTCAGGGACGATGAGATTTAATAAAAAGAAAACCTACTTGCTCCTTTCTAATGCACGCCTGGGATTACAGATAGCTCCTTAACTTAATAGCAATTTAAAGTGGATTTGTGTATGCCACTGAGTGTCTGTAATGATGGCTGTTTACGCCGCCCCTCATTTATAATAATTAAGCAGAATGGATTGGGGGTGGGTTGCTCGGACGCGGTTCTGGGCTATTGGCTTGGGCTGAATAATGACCTACTGTAGTTGACCGGGGGATGACCGCTGCCTCCTGGATGACCCCAAACCCCAGACTCACCCCCTGCTTCTTTGGGTGGTAAATAGGATGTCTTGCCTGTCTATAGCGTCTTGGTGTCTATGGCCACAATAGCAGCCAGGGGTCTTTAAATGGGTGTGTGACAGAGAAAATGAGAAAGGAGAGGGGGGACAGGGTTCACACAAAAGAATAAAGGGATCCACTCTCTTTGTCTCTCTTGCTTGACTTTCCCATCTGATTGTTTGCTCACTTTTCCTTTTCTTCGGCTGTATTCAAAAGAGTGAACTGGGAGCCGTGGCCCAAACCAGCGTGTTAAACAGAGAAGAAGCCTGTTATGACCCTAAATATCGCAGGTAGCCTGGACAGAATATTAGCACAGAATGATTTTAGAATCTCTTATTGCTATTCGTTGAATTATAACTTGTATTTATACAAAGCTATAAATCACAGTGAGTAAATGTACTGTATAAGGCTGTAAATCAGTTTTTGTTGTTTTTACAAGTTGTCATGTAATAAAATCATGGCAAAGACATAGGATTGATAGGAACCACCACAAGGTGTCAGTGGTGTCCATGTTCTCATTGTCTCTTAAGAAGCAGCTGCAGCTGGACACTTAGGCAAAATGTGGTGTGACGCTCTGCTTTGGGAGATGCAGCGGATTGGCTGTACCGTCTCCGTCTCTCTGCGTTTTGGTTGGACGCCAAGGTAGAGGGGGGAGAGTTGAGCAGGGCAATGGAGAGAAAGAGGAAGAGGTGGCAGCAGCACTTGCCAGAGTTTTAAGGACTCTGGATGGGTTAGTGCCATAAATCTCTTCCCACTCCATCCCGCCGTTCTCCATGAGTGCCTTTGGGAATACAGGAATTTGACAGCTGACCTGTAGAGCCCATGTCTTTTGATTCTGGACACATAAATTAGAAGGCAAGAATGCGGGACAGCCTTATGGTTCAGTGTGGCCGACAAAGTACACAGGCATTACACGTGTCAGGGAGAAGTGAAACAACAGCCTTAAGCCACTGCAATAAATTAACCCGACACTCACATTGTAAATACTAAAACAAATATCTTGCTGCATGTTATGATACAGTCAAAATATGTGTGCGCAACATCTCAACATTTTTAAATCAAGTTTAAAAAATGTGCCAGTGTGCGAGAGTGTGATATTGCAGAAAACCGAGCTCACCAATATTTGTCACCACACACTAAAATGCCGGCGTAAAGCTATAATGTGCATTAGAAAAATGCAAGCTCTCAGAAATGAAATGCCAGAGCAAAACTCAGAAGATGGATCTAACGGTGTGTTTCTACCTCATGTATCAGCGCGCTGAGCATTGCCATCCAGCTCTCTGCGGAAAGCAAGTTAGGCATCACTGCAACCGGCGGCGGCTCGCACTACGAGATTAATTCTCTTGAACTAATGGGATTCATATGAGTTGTGAGGTTCCTAATTTATTTACTTTGTCAGTGATACACAGATATGCACACACACAGCAACACACAAGGGAGAAAAAAACACAAATACAGTAAAAATGCCCCCACTTTACAGTAAGTGAGAGATCAATAATGATGGATGAGGGCCTTTTATACAATCGGCATGTTCTCCTCAGTTCACAGCCATATGACACCACGCCTGTGGCTATCCCATTCTGCACTTCAGCAGTCAATCACATCGCAGCTTTAAAAATAACAGTTTGTTAGCACCATTGATTTAGCACTTAGAGCGTGTCCTTATTACCTTGTAATTATGGTCAGTGTTGACATAACAGCACAGACAACCAGGACTCCCACCCTCTAAGAGAATTTATGGGCCCTGGTTTTATTACGGCCATTTCATGTGTCTGGGTCCCCAGTTAAGCGACAGACTTGAGTTCTAGCCAAGGGCCCGTATTTCACTCATCGAGGTCAGGGTTCTCAGGAATCCCCCCGTAAAACTGAACGCAACTGGGGGCCTGCACGAAAGACGCAGGGAAGCCCTCCCCAAGGGCTCATTAAAGTAAATAGCCGATTACAGGCTATAATCCAAATAATGCTATTCATGGAGGATATTTGACGCTTTTAGGACACAAAATGGGACACGGATGGAGTCGTGTCTTCACACAAAACCATTCGGAAGCCGTCTGGAGATCACCTCTAAATAATTTACAACCAGCCCCTCGCTTTAAATCCATTAGAGGATAGTTAGAATACTCTCTCGTAGTCTGTCACTATGTTATGACTTCAGCGTACAGCTTGACAAAACAAGAGTAATCTGTGCCATTAAGTTTGTGAGGTCCTTCTACCGGGTCTTGCTTCCAACCTGGACTTAGTTTGCTTTAAGGTTTTCCGTGAAGCAGTAATCTGATCCATACAGTGAAAAGTAATACGGCGGGCAGGGCTGAGGCAGTTTGAGGCGGATCTGTCGCTCAGAGCCAGGTTCCCTTTGTTTCCCAACCTAGGCTGCCTTTGTCATCCTTACATGAAAAATGGACATGGCTGTTTTGACATTTTCCCCTATCAACCAGCACGCTCAGACAGAGAAGGCTGGCATCTCATTCATCTGGCACTGCCAAGAGAACCTCAATTAAAAGTCCATCTTCTGTGAAGAGCATAATTCACCTCTCCCATATCTGCCCTTACAAATAAAAGGCTCCATTTCCTTTTACACAAACTGACTGTGTGTTTGTCTATCTATACCCCAAACCTTTACTTCTTAAAAAAGTAAGGGCATTATTGTTTCTGCTCTAAAACAAGAAAATATCACAAATAATTGTATTTCTCTCGCTGCAGCTGCTGATTAAAGATGCAAGACAATAATGGGCTTGAATACATCATTTCTCAATCCCTTTTCCACTGCATAATTACCAACAAAAAGCTGCATCTACTGTAGATTCTTTCTCCCTCTGCTCTTCAGATAATTCAGCCTAAACACAGAACATGATGATTCAATTTCAAGCCGACCAATAGAAACAAGTCCCTGCACGCAGCAGAGTAAAAAGTGCCCAAATTACAAGCCATTGATTTCCAGTAGGGTGGCTTTTCACTGGTAGATACTCTGCATGTAACTACAAGATGGCCATAAAACACGAGGAAATAGATAGAGAGAAAAAGAGCTGAGATGCTGGATGGCTTCACCTGCAGTTTATGTCAAACAGGAAGGAAGGGCTTCGCATGGCTGCCTACTCAATTAACCCCTGTGATAGAGGCTCTATAATGAACAACAGCACCATTACGCAGCGCCCGAATGGCACTTCACCCTAGTGGCCCGGGAATAGACAATGCCACTGTTGGTGCTTCTCTGCTGCACCGACACACTAACAGAGGAATTTAGATGTTGGGGATATCAGCATGTTCAGAAAGTAAATGAGGCCAACGTGATTACTGGTATTGATGTTGTTTAACACTTTAATAATCACATATTCTACCCAGCTGCAACACATTTTACTCATTGCAAATGACTAATTGCTCTTGTAATTATGTCTACGAGTCAGGAATGGTTCCCGTTAAAAATGAACGGCAGAACAGTGATCTCCCGTTCCACTGACTGGGGGAACGCGTGTCCAGAAACAACAGAATTCTGAGAGATGTTTGCTTAACCTCTCTGAGTGTTTTTTGCTGACCTTGCTAATGATGTAGATGAGATCTCCTCTCTGGAAGCTCAGCTCGTCCGGCTCGTCAGGCAGGCAATCCCATAAACCTTGGTAGTAGTTAGCGTAATCTGATGACCAGGCCGAGGGGAAATGCAAAGCGTGAATTTAAATAACAATTTCCACCTGCTTCAAACCATTAAGCTGGGAATGTGAAAGACTGTGATGAGGCTCTGACCTGATTTGCTGTTCTTCTCACTGCTTTCATCTGTCGGATCTGGGAAATCCTCGTCTAAATAAACAAAAATACAAAATGATGTTTGTGAGACATTTATACTTGTTTGACTTATAAGCAGGAAGTGCGGCTACAACTAACTATTATTTTTATTATTGATTTATTGACCAATTATTTTCTAGATTAATCGATGCCTCCTTGATCTTTAAAATTCCAGAAAAAAAGAGAATAATGTATATCCCATTGTCTCAAAGACAAATATGTTATACTTAATAAGTCATATGTTATAATAAAGCAGAACATCTCCATATTTGAGGGGCTGAAAACAGCATTTTGTGCCATGTTTGTATGATTAATTACTTTATTAAACAAAATTAATAATTTACGGAAATACCTGGAGGCTATTTTTTCTGTTGATCAATTAATAGTTGCAGTTTTAGCAGGAAGCATTTATCAACCAGATAACAGGACCCAAACATTTAAATCTAAGGGTGGAACAAGTAAAGTAATGATGAGAACCATAAACTGTACATCTTTTACACAAAAAAGAAATTCAATGTATCATCAGCCAATGACTGACACACCGCCTCGTGGCACAAGATGACTATTTTTCTTTAACAAGATAGAACTTAATAGTAAGGTATCGGTTCACATTTATCAGAGACTGAGCGAAGAAAAGTTAAAGAAAGAGGCTGTCTTTAAGGCACGCAGAGGCGGACGTGTCATCGACTGCAGGGCGTGGCCCCCGGTGGTCTGAGAGGTGACACACTGATATCCTGCCCTCTGTCTCCCACATCCATCCGTAACAGCAGCAGGCTGACAGCCACGCAGCCACAACCCAGCAACACTATCCACCTCCCAGCATAACCTGCCCCTCTGCTTCCAGGAAGACCAGGAAGACACACACACACACACACACACACACACACACACACACACACACACACACACACACACACACACACACACACACACACACACACACACACACACACACACCTTTTTCAAATCACTTTCAGGTAAAATACAACATTATATCATTAAAAATGTCAGGGTTGTGGTTTTACCTAATGAAATATGTAAATGTCCTTCATTGTTACAAAACCAAAATAAGGAATTCATTGATTTTTATTTTTCACAGGATCTAAACATTTGTTCAGCGCTCTGCGACTGCTGTGCAGGAGAGCATCCCTCAGTCGAGAGGCCACCGCCATGGGCCAACGGTTTCTATATCAAAGTGATTTAATTTTCCAGTCAATAAAATCAGTCATCAGCACCAGAGCCAATACCACCATCACTCTGCATTCTGCCTGCAACTGAGCCATGTGCAGAGTTTTGCTTCGTCAAAACTGAGAGAGCTCATCACAGGGAAAATGATACTTTACTCGTACACTACATTTTTTCACGAGTTTGCCTTATGAACATTCAAGATGTATCTGAAAGAGAGCAATTTGCAAGTTCTTAAGATTCTCTAGATATCTAAAGTTAACTACCCGGATATCCATATGTCTTTATGCCTTGTCTATATTAGAACCGATCAATGACACTGCACCAGGTCCATATACTATTGTCCTCGGCAACAATCAAGTTAATACTAAGATCGGGAAACTGGCAAAAATCCGAAGACGAATTTGAATTCTTAAATCAGGTGTTGTTCCCTTTGTTTACATCCATGGCCTATTTGTTTTCATTTTTGTTGGGTGAATATTATTTTAATATATACCGTAACTTGTGTGACTTTATTATTTTAACAAGTTTTGCATAGTTATTTTAAACCTTCATATGATGATTAAAATAAAGACCTAATCCTTAAATATTTTATCTTTTTGTATAAGAGTTTCTAAAATAGTTTTTATGAATAGTTTTTTTTAATATGTAATTGTTCTTTATCATACACCAAAGCGAATTCCTTGTATGTGTGAACTTACTTGGCAATAAACCTGTTTATGATTCTGAATGAAGTCCAACAAAATACAGTCATTTCAAGGACTACTATGAATACTTATATTTGTTTATAAAAAGGAGATAGAATAGATACAAAAGTTTGTAATTTGCAATCATGATCAATGAAAATAAAATCACTCTGTACATTACAAGCTGCAAGTGTGCAAAGAGAGATGCAGAATGATTGATAAGTGAAGGGGTGAGAAAGTGAAGGAAAGAGCCTGTCATTCGATATGCCATCTGTGGTCAGAGTCTGTACCTCTTCCCAGATGGCTTTGAACGCCGGCGTGACAGTCTGAAGACTGATTTCCCTCTCACCAGTGATTTTGGCAAAGGTAATGTACTCACAGAGTGAAACAGAATCTTGATGTATCTTATTTAATAGAAAGAGTGATGGACGACGGCCCTGAGAAGATCAGATCACCCCTTTTGTCCTTCTCGGGATCTTGTAGCCACCCTGACACATGGGACTGTCTCCCCCCTCAGTAGGGACTCACACACTCGCACTCATCTGGCAACAATCTTAATCAAACTCTCATTTCTATTAAATATGTGACATTAAGAGCTCCACAACTATTTTAAGCCCTGGGAGATGCAGTTTTTACTTCATTTCAACTAAATTGCCGTTGCTAGGCAATTTTTGCCAAAACTCTGCTTAGTGGATTGAATTGTAGGCTATTTGTTGCTTGGCAACATTAGCTAATTGGACGTTCTATGACAGAGCATTCGGCACTAGCCGGCTCTCGCTGATTTCAACAACATAACTGTTTCTCAACAGATGGCTCTCAGTGAGATAAGACCAGAGGAAGCTGGTTTCCAGTGGATGTGAGGAGAGTCTCCCCTTCCTGCCCTGTGTGACTCTGCAGCACCAACCTCAGCCCTGACAGGCTTATTAGTGTTGCTTGATTTAAAATGAGTGATAAGTCTGGGTGTTGTGGTGGTAGGGAGGTACCTGGCTGGCAACACAAATTTCACAGCCAGGGGAGAGATCATCACACATTTTTCTTGTTGCAAAAAAATCCCTGAGGGCTCGGGTTTGTGTGTGTGAGGCAGAGCGACTGTGTCTATTTGTCTGACTGAGTATCATGAGAGTTGGTGTGTGCAGCCGTGTGTGCGTGTATGTGTGTGTGCGTGCTTGTGTGTCTGCCTGCGAGGTAACCACATCCTCATACCTGGCAGCACCTCGTAGATATCCTCATCCTCCTCTTCGACCTCCCCCGTCTCCTGCCCATGGTCCTGGAAAGGACCGGGTTGAGGGCCGGTCAACCCATCAATGTCATCATAGGTCTCCTCTTCCTCCCCCTCACCTTCCTCCTCCTCGTCATCATCGCAAGGGATGGCGGTGGAGCGGAGATCTATGAGGGACGGAAAGACAACGTGATGGGCGGCGTTAGCGTAAGGATAGAGCGCAGCGTGGAACAAATGCATTACAGGGTAAAGTAAGAGAAATGGTCCAATGGCCCTGGCTGCACAACAGACTAGGACACGTGCCTTATAGCAGCAATGACAAGACCTGGGGGCTTGATTTCTGCCTGTAATACTAGAGTAATTTCATTATCTCTTAAAGTGTTTATATATTTTTGGTACCACTTTACAATTAGACTACCCTTATAAAGGATTCATAAAGGGTTTGTAATTAGGTTATGAACTAGGTTGTAAACACTATATTAATCATTAAGAACCATTTATAAACCAGTTCTAACAGTTTTAATACATCAACACAGGCTCACTATTTGGCAAGATGACTAAGCCTTATATTGGCTACTTAACTCAACTCAGTGAACAACAGATACCAAGGATGCTAGCTGATAAAGAAGACGAAGAAAGCTAAGTAGCCAATATAAGGCTTAGCAGTACAGATAAATGTGGGCTCACTATTTGGCAAGCAACCGGTCATAGTTGCCCTGTTTATCTCATGTCTTATAAAAGCTTATTAATGATTTATAAAGCGTTCACAACCTAATTAATGAATGAATTACAAACTATCTGTAAACCGTTTATAAGGGTAGTCTTATTGTAAAGTGGTACCTATATTTTTTAAGCATTTAATTGCAGAGTCTGATGTAGTTAAAAACGGCCACTACCGTTTTCCAGAGCCCACGGTGACGTCTTTAACTAGATTTTTGTTCAATATTTATCAATTCTGAATATTTGAAACAGTTGAAATGCTTATCTTCACTACAACGGTACCAGCTGCATTTTCTCACTCTCTGTTCTCTCAAACAGAACATAGACACACACTCACACACACTCACACACACACATATCGCTGCTGCGCCGATTCTGCAATGCTGTGCTTCCAGCTAAGTAAAGAGAACAATTCTTGTTGGCATGTAACAGCCTTTTTATATTTTTATTTTGTAATTCTTAATTTTATTTTCGAATCTATACCCTCAATATGATGTCAAAATGTAACCATAGTGAGAAATTCCAATATGTTAAAACAGTTTTGCAAATTGCATGTTTTGTCTGTTTATTTCAACAGTTAAAACCGCAAAGAACTGCGGAAAATCAAACCAGAGAAGTTTGTCATTTTTGCTTTATTTTGACTTCCTCAGCTTTCCTATATCTCTTCGGTTTATGTTCTGTATTTTGAGTTGGATCTCTGATCAATACACATTAACACATACTATATATTTGTATCTTTTGTTGTACAGTATGATACCGCTCCCTGTACTATAGATTGTATTTTAGTACTTTTTTTTTTTTCTATTGCAGCTAAATCTGTTTTATCGTCTATTCTTTTCAAAACTTTAATGGCGGTTTTTAGTTGTATTCAAATGTCCTTTTGTTGTATGTTTTTGTTTCTACAATGTCTTAATGCTTTTAATGTTCATGCACAGCTCTTTGACTTTTCTTGTTACTGAAATGTGCTAAATAAACAAATATGCACTTTGTAACTGTATCTCTACTTTCAGAATAAATAAAAGCAAAATGCCAAAAAATGTCATACCATACAGATCATGAAAGAGTGACCACAAAAAATAACACGCATGTTAAAAAGATGTCAGTTAATCTTGTTTTCAGGTTATTTCCGGCGGTGAAGAGGGTAAATAATAATCATGTACATGTTCTGGATCAGACTGCGTTTTGTAGTAAAACTGGTCTGGAAGGAAGTAAGACAAACTGCAGAGTGTCTGTTACTTCCCGCAAATCAGTGGGCCGGCCCGAGCCCATTTTAGAGGAGACAAGAGCACGACTGCTGGCTCAGATGGAGGAGGCGTCTCATTGCAGGCGACTGGCTGCTGCAACACAGGGTATCAGGTCCTCTGCCGTACAGCAGCGGCCGAGCAGAAATCAATGTCACTGGAGGATAACCAGAACATCTACCAATCAATTTCCTGTAAGTTGGAATTCGGTAGGAGGGTTAGGGGAGGAGCGGTTGGGGGAGGTGGGGGAGAACTAGAGCTACATGATGGTGCACATGACACGGTGGGTGACACTTCGAATGGGGAGATTCAGGACTCGGCTGTGCAGTTAGTGATGGATCGGGTGGTTTCCATCTGAGATAGGGTAGATAAAGGGCTCCCTTTCATTTCTGACCTTTCTGCCCGCTGAGAACACACACGCAAACTTTGGGCGCAAACTGGGAAAAATCTGTATTTTTCAATTAACCTATGCAGCATTTAAAAAGTCAACTCAAGCAAATGTTATATAAAACCCAATTTATATTTGTCTCAGAGGGCTTTGAAATCTGGACACGATATCCCCGATCCTCAAACCTTTGATTCCAATAAGGACACACAAAACGGAAACACAAAACTTTACACTTCCTGAAAACTGACCATGCAGGAGGTACTGGAAGAAATGACAAAGAGATGCTGGCTTACCTCGAAGCACAAAATGGATTTGGTCCACCCATTCCTTTGCCTCTTGAGGACTGCTGGCAGTGAACTAATGGGAAACAGTGGCAATAATTCTGCAGTTATCATCTCATCCAAGGGTGCATGTATATGGAAATAAAAGTCCAGATATGTAATCTTCAATACAACAGCTCTTTTCCAAGCTGCCTAATAAGGAACGAAGAGCGCATATAAATGTTCTCTTTTGAAATGGCTATGAAATGATCAGATCCAAAATATTTAAATGAGACAGATAAATTGTGAGATAAATGTGTTATAATCAAACAGTAGGATTGCTATAGTGGCATGTAGACATGCTTTCCAAATGAATTTAGATGAAGATGCGTTCTAACCCATTAGAAATATTTAAGTACGAATATATATTAAAATAAACATATATACATGTATCGTGTTGATCGATTAATCGTTTAAGGGACTCATCACATATCGTATAATATTTTGGTCTGGAGTCAGTCAGTTATTTCTTTAAGTAAATAAATGTTAGAAAGATATGTACTAAGCGGAACCTTTTAAAGTATAAAAATCCCCTCAGTGCTCTCTAGTGGACCAACTATGTAATGGAGACACTTTGATAATTACTTTCAAATGTATGTACTTCAATTTCTTGTTACTTATTGGACGGCTGTAATTCAGATTTTAGATATTTCTGCTTAAGAAAAAGGACATTTTTTATTTAAAGCCACTAAAACAGCCTTAAAAAGTATTTCAAAAATAGTGTCATATTATATTCCTTTACTTGGATTTAATCATTCTTTAATGTAGTAAATTGTACAGGGTTGTTGTTGGATTACAAACCTGAAAAACCCGCCGTCCTTGACAAAAGAGCTCAAAGCAGGCCATTTTTTTGGAGTCTTTCCTCAGGTTGGTGGCGAGCTGCACGCTGTAATCGATGATATGAAAGGAGCCCTTCTGCTGCTTATCTGTATGGGAGGAGGGCCAGTGGTTTGATATTATCTGATTCAACTTATGAGCCTGTAATGTTTCTGTAGGTTGGCATTTCAAACAAACCTTTATCACTTCCAAAGTAGTAAAATATTGAATTGTTCAGAACACACCATCTCTTTTGCCACTCGGAGCCGAAAAAACTGTGATCTAGAAAAAGAAGTGCATGATGATCAAATGGAAAATAATGTTACTCATTTGAGCAGAATTTGTTAAAATATATTTTAATAATTTAATACTTTTTTATGTAGTCAACAACATCCGTCGCTATCTTAACATGAACGAGCATTGTCTACGTATTAAGGATTTAACCATTAAATAGCTGTCCGATTAAAGGAGTTTGAACTATGAGCCAAAAGAGTGTCTTGGCCTTTTCTTCTCTTCACATTCATATTATAGATCAAATGAAAGTACTTCATCCATGGCTGGTATCTATATGGTGCTATACCTCGTCGTTTCTTTTCCAGGAAGCCTTGCTTCAAGATGTTGCCAAGGTCCTGGGCTGCCACAGGGGGAATATCACCAAAGTCTGTGAACAGAAACAATAAACTCAAATAAATATAACAATAAGAAATAATAGTTTATTATGCACTTTGCAACAAACAATTATTTTAAAAGTTTCTGTCAATTAACTTAATCCATTTAGCAATTGATTGTTTTCAGCATGAACTGCTTATTGGTGTATTTATAAATGTTCCTCATTGCAACACACACAGAAACACACACCATGATTATAAAGTCTCCCACTCTGTGGATCAAATACATCCCTGCTAGGCTTTAGAAAACAGGGATCAATACATGTACAGTGCTGCTGAGCACTGCAGACCATTCATCTGCTCACATTGCATTTTTAATGGGAGCAGCCTTCCTGTGGAAATCCAAACATCTCTTTTCAATTTGCAAAGTCAAATGTTAAACATGATAGGGCAATGGAAGGACTTAAAAGGCTTTAGTTAATTAAAGCAGTTGTTAGGCTGCCCTTGCACAATGCAGTTCACATAGTATTCAGCCTGCTGTGCAGAGGTAGTAGAACTACACTAAATAACTTTGCACTATACACATAATCACATAATCACATAGATTCTTGATGGCACAAGATGTTAATACATGTGATTCCCCTTACAATGCAGATATAAACCTATATGTGTTTGCTTTGATTTCAACACTTGCTTATCATTGCTCCAGGTTGTGTCTCTCACATACAGGAATCGAAGAGAAAGTCAGTTAAAACTGCTTTAAACGTTCAAAGAATTCCTATGTTTACACAAAGAAGCAACATTGTAAAACAATCTGACATTCCTCTGTAGCATTATTTAAGCTAGGAGTGATGCTTCTGGCTTAAATAATATGAGGGTTATCCTTTAATCTCACTTGGATTGGCATTTTTATCTTTATGGCTGGTTGGAATCTTACTTGGAACACTGTACCACCAGGGACCACCAGGATGTTTGAGAGACACGGTTTGATCCAGCTGTTTCATGGTTTGAAGTTTTAACAAGAAGTATTCTTGTTAAAACCTATTTTTAAGCCTTTAGCCATTAGAGGGGATCTTGTAAAGTTGACCCCTTGTCGGCATCACAAGGGCTATCTTCCACCCTGAGCTTCAACAGGGGTAGCTGGCTTTACCATGTGTCAAAAACAAATCTCTGCTTCCTCTGAATTCATTTGTCAACATGCCTTAGCCTTGCAGGGAAAAAAGCAAAGGGAGAGCAGGAACCGCCTTTTTAGTCTGAAACACAGGAACAATTTAAAGACCATTTACACTAGTCAGTGTGACACCCCTTTCAGACCGCTGATGACAAGGGGAATGCCTGGAGTCCATCCCCCTCAGAAAGGAACCTGTTTAACTGCTGGGAAAAACCAAACATGTCAGCCCACATCTGGGTCCTCTGGTTTAAACAAAGAGTATCCCCCAACATCAGACAAACTGGAACAACTTTCTTATTCAGGAAAATCAAAAACATGAAAAAGCAGTTCAATGGACTGACCAATCTACCTCTTAAGCCACAGTTGAATACACACTCCAACTTTGTGTTCTAAAAGTTGTTGTTTTGAGTCTCTTTTTGTCTGAATAACTTTGATCTAGGCAGCAAAATAAAGCTGATATAGGATTTTTCTTTTTTGCCTGGCTAACATTCCAGAGATTTAAGTTCACAACAATCCAGCCAGTGATCCCATAACCCTGCAGCGCTTCAGCTCGTGGGCCTGACAGATGAGCGGGTCGTTCCAGAGCAGAGCCCCAGACACCTCACGGCACTAACACGCTCACATATCATCAGCCTGCCTTTGTGGATGGACTGACCGGTGACACTATAAATACAGAGGTGCTAAGGACTGTTTTGTCAAAGAGAACCTGATTCAGTACATCATAACAAACAGCAGTCATTATGATCCCCCACCTCATCTATCCGCCGACAGTCCGTCCATTCTTTTCCATGGGCCTGCTTCCCTGTTACGGCCCACTTCTAATCCCCTCATCAGTCTGCTTCCCTCACTCTTCATTTATCTCAAAGGTCGAGCCAGGCTAATAGATGAGGAGGTACAAAATCAACACGGGATCACTCTGATCTGCTTGAGTCAATAAACATTACACATTCATGCGTGTTTAACACTTTAGCACCAGGTGACCTGACCTCACTTGACTGCCCGGCATTGTATAATTCTCAAACACGGGTATAGTGAAAATAGAGACATATTCAACACAATAGTTCTGTATTCTTCCACAGGGTAGCAGCACAACCTAAAAGCATCACGCTGCGTAATGCTGCTTGCTCAAGTCCCTGATCCCACCCTAAAGAGGAGCAGACTCTTGATTGGTTCTGAGTTAACAATGCCTCCTTTAATGAAAATTACACACTAACACCTCTTTGGGACCTGTGCAATTTTAAGTGGATATTCAGAGGTAATGTTATTTGAAAATGTGTAATTAAGGGCGTTAAAAAACCCCAACAACCATCATGGTGTTTGAGTTTTGAGTTTGACTACAGGCACGGAGAGACACATTAATGCATCTAATTAAGGCCTCATCAAAATCGCAGACAGAAGGCACTCTTTCATAAAAATCATAAATTGCGTTATCAATTATTCAGGGCAATGCCTTGACTTCATTTTCATCCCTTTTGCGTTTTAATTAGCACCATCCACAGCTTTGGTATTGACATTAATCTGATGGCAATTTATTGATATTTCAGCATAACCTATTTAGCTGAGTGCAATTACCAACAAAGAGAAGCAGATAGATGTGATGTTAGAGTCTCATCCCGTGCTTTGTAAATCAAGGTGAGGAGTTTCTACAGGCTACGCTAACTGAATCTAACTGCTCTCAGTGGTCATCAGCAAGAACAGATGTGATTCTCCCCATTTCCAAATGGAAGGAAGTAATCGATAGAAATTGAGCAGAGATATGTGTTTAATTGATCCTGACAAAGGGATATTTCTATAAGCAAGCCGACCTGGGTGCTGATAAGTGCTCCGTTCTGTTGCCTTCTTGAACTTGTTTTAAACTCGAGGAGGGTGTGATGGGGGGGGGGTACAAAACAATGCATCTGAGCTGCCAGCGGTTTGGCACAGCCGCAATCTCTCATTTGGTTATTCACACTCTCTCAGCATGGTGTTATGAGCTCAGCAGTTGATCCCGCAAGAAAAGGCTGATTTATGTTAGCATGACCAGAGGGAGTTAATGTATTCTCTCATTAAAATCCACTTTACTTAGGCTGAAAGTCAATCAAAGGCTGGATGGAGAGTGAATCAAAATGAAGGGAAATGGTCGGGTGGGAGGACTAATATGTTACATTACATCTAACGGTGATCATAATGCAACAAAGATGTTATGAAAACACCAAAACGTGCTGGAGATGTTTATGGTGCTACAGAAGATGGAGATGCTGGAGGAAAGCTTTAGTATCTTTTGTCTGAGCGACAGCACTGGCAGGGGGACTTGCGCTTGCAGAGGGCTTGAACTACTTTGTATCTCCATATAGAATAATGTAAGTCAAGCCAGTTAAATGAAACAATTCAGATGTTGGAGGAATAAATACAATTATCAGAATAAAAATGTTGCTTGTCACAATAGTCTTTTGACATTCTTTTTCTGCTATCCCATGACATGTTGGTATATTGACATGCAGTATTTTAGCCAAATACAGATGTATAAAGTATATACTGTGATTCTCATATTGTGTACGTGTTGTGGAAAGCGTCTTGCTGTATTCATGATGTTTGACATACAGTACAAGCAGTGTCTTTAAAGGACAAGCAAAATATATAGAAATATATGTTATTTTTTTAAAGATTATATTTTTAACTTGCTCTGTCCATCAAGGTCCACTAGCTGTATTTGAAGTCTCTGAAATTCAAATCAATATTATAAGCTGTATTACGTACTATTTCTTTTTTGAATGTGTGTTTGTTGCATATTTGTTATCTGCTTGAACTCCATATTTATGTCATCTTTTGTGCTTGTAAAGGTATATTGTATTTTTATCGGTTTGTAATGCTTATTATTTGAAAATGAGCGCTGGATGTGTCTCTATAAAACTGATTTTATTGGGCTTTTTATAATAAATGTTGTTCTGCACAATATATGCTTTAAAATGCTTTTGTTCGCTTTTGGGCTGCAATTAATTGTCAGTAAAATGTCCTATATTGTGCCCGTAACTAGTTCCTAAAGCTCATTTTGACAAATCCCAACCATATGATATGCCATTTTATTCGAATATTGTTTTTATTAATCAACAAAAAAACGTTACAATAAGGAAGCTAACATTTTTTTGTATATTTGAAGTAGTAATGACTTTAAACGATTATCAAAAACAGTTGCTGATCCTTTTCATTCTAATCCAGAAATGTACAGAATGTTTTTTCTAATTGTTTAGTTTTTTCCTCTCTTCTTTTCTTTCTTTTAATTCGTAACATAAATCTTACAAATAACTGTACATTAATAAATACATAAGTTAATAAATAAAAACAAACTTACAGTAGGTCAGTAAGTCAGTGAGTAAATAAAAAATTACATTTTTTTTTCATAACTACAACACACTACCGGCAGAACTAAGCTAAGGGCAAAAACATCAGCCCCTCTATGAAATGTATATCTTGAGTGGAAGGAAGAGGTGACCCCCCACACAGCACAGGTAAGAATCAATATCTGCGAGTTATCATATGTTTTCTTTCTCCCGTGTTTAGGGCTTGAGCACTGGGGCTATATCAGAGAGGTATTGCATTGAATCCAGCGTCAGGGGGCAGGGCCTGACCCCCACGTGAACTCTGCTGATGAGGTGAAACAGAAGGCAGCGAGAGGCTCCCGGCCCTGAGGGGGCTGCGGGGAGGAATGCTGCTGCTGACTCTTACAGACGAAGCCAGAGAGACCGCAATCCTCTTCGATACCGTCCTTGATTAGGAAAAAGGATTCACTCAGTGCACCTTCACCCACCCGGCGCTCAATCTGCGCGCAGGCCAAAGCTAAATTGATACATTTTTCCTCATTAAAGTAGGAGGCCTTTGCTGCGCGTCCCTCCAGCGAGGCGGCCG